TTCCCCTTCTATTGGAACGTTTGCTTGGATAACTTTTGATATGGTCTCACTAGGAGATTTTTTGTAAGGCATAAATCCACTTGCACGTAGTAATGATGTACACAGTAACTTTTATCGAAGCAATTTAAATGAAACAGGAGAATTAACCCCATGCTATCGCGTATAAATACAGTTGTGATGTGATTTCCGCTACGATTCAACATAAAGCGGTATTTCTCTTTCCAATATTCATCACTGACAGACTGTATATTGCCCCTGTGCTGAATGTTTAGACATTCTGGACAAGCTTACCTGATGTTAAGTTGTTGATGTTAACAAGAAAATCTGAACCGATAAGTAAGGCAAGACTTCTTATCTTGTCCGAACGAAACCCAAGCCTTTGACTTTATATGTAAGTACTGAGCCTATTAAAATTAAAGTTGGAGTGTAACAAAACAAAGACCAGTCCACTCTCGTTTCCTACAGTTTTCTATATCGGTGTGAAACAGTTCGGTGGCGCTAAATGTCAGTCGACTGCGCTCCAATTTCAATATTTTCTTGGATTCGTCTGACAGTGATGATTTTTCTCATGCAGTGAGTAATCAATTTACCATCACTGTATGCTTTTTGTTATTTAATTTTATTTTATTTAGCTGGAACTGCCGTTACGTAGCTAAAGTCACAATAGATAATTGAATAATTCCATCTCGTTTAAGTCTCGACTACAAATGAATGTGGATAGTGTTTTATACATTTTATGGACATGAGCATACATCCACGCGTAGTTAATAGAGATGTCTGGATAGGAGAGCCGGCAGAAAGCTAAGATGAAAAAAACGGTGCTGCAGCGTATATATATATATATATATATATATATATATATATATATATATATATATATATATATATATATATATATATATATCGGGAACACCCTCACAATTCACTCACTTGCGTCTGTTTGCTCGTACTATAACTAAAACTATCTGTCGGGTTTCCAACCTATCATCTCCATAATGATCCAAGGTTCCAAGGTAGAGCAATTTTCAATTGAGTTTCGAAAGTGATCCTGGAAAGCTTTGGTTTTTTGCTTTACATCGTTTTGTGATTGGTCCGTATAACGTGCACCATCGTCTCAAACAATTAAATGTAAAACTAAAACCAATACCAACTTGGTCACTCAAGTTTTCCCGCGCTTTAAACAGGTTGTTTGTTTTTACTTTGAGTTCTCATTGATTAACGATGATGTTGACCTTTGCATTCTTTTGATTAGTAGATGAGGTAGCTTCGGTTTTTGGTTTCTTGGCCCTCAAATGAAAATTGCTCTTATTTTAGATAATGATTAACATAAGGATAAAGCCTCCCATTCCGTTAATTCCAAAGGCTGAACTTAATTCTTGTAAAGTTTCATTTCGTTGCAATGTTAGATCGAATCCGTATGTAAATATTGCCTGAAAACAGCCAGCTCAGCTTTGTAAATAAAGAAACCTGTCCTTGTAAATTATGTCATTTATAATACAGTTCTTACCGTTACATAATATCGTTATAAGCATGAGACCGAGACGGAAAAAAGGTTTTTTTTTTTTGTCTTAATAAAAAGGGGGTGATGTAGACCTGCCTAACAGTCTAGAAAATATATCATGAAACCTAAAAGAGCATGCTTTTAAAACCCATTTTGCAGCTCTTCGTTTGGTAACTTTGCTGAGCCGAAAAATTCTGGAATCCTGCGGATCCTAGCGCAAAAATCAGTCCATTCTGTTTCATTTAGAGATTTTTTTTCATTATTTGATTTGTGTCAATTTCATAACAAACATTTTATCAAAGTTGAATGCAAAAATGGCAAAAAAATAAAAAAACTTTTTGGGACCGGATACTGCTAGGACTTTTGAAACACGGGCTCCGAAGCCTTTTCGACTCTAAATCAATTTAGTTCAGTATAACTCTGCTACCACTCTAGTATCATCGAAAAGCTGCAATCCATTCCGTGACTGATAGAGGCTAGAGTGAGTAACCTAACAGTGGACGGTTGTGAGCAAAATGAAATGAAAACATAAGACTGTCTTGTTGTTCATCTATGGACGACTGGCAGATTTATGCTAAAGCAACTACATTGTTCCCTCACGATTTCTATGCGTGCTCGGTACTGGAATTGGACTTTGCCCTATCGACCCTCAGTCGTTAAATAAACAAATCGCGAAAGTTTCTCTAACTGAAAAATTACCATACACAAGACAGATTGGGTGTAAAATCCGTCCAGCAGTTCCTTTATTTGGCTAGATGACTTTTTAGTTATATTATTAACAATTTGAAATAAAATTACTGTTTTTAAAAATATTCTACAGTCTGCAGATTTTAAACGAACGTATTTAACATTTTTCACTGTCGTTTTACATCAAGATCAACAACTTCCGGAAATAACCAGCATTCATCTATAGAATGCATCACGTAGGATAGCATTAATTGGAAAGCATTTCACGTATCAAAGTGAACCAAGAATTTCATATTCACAAGATATGTTTACAATGCCAAAATATCAATCTTAAATTCTAAGAAACAACCAATTGTTTTATCTGGGTCAGGTAAAAGTTCTAATAAAGCATAAGTGGGAATTTGTTACCAAAATCATATTCTTAAGGTACTGGTTGAAGCTAGTTACCCCAAAAAGACACTCAGGGGGAACGCTACTCAGTTCAATATATACCATTCTTTAACTTAGCTATAGTTGGTACATGAAATTGCGTTCCACAAGACAATTGAATCAAAACACTTGTTTAAACACAAGTCTACCTTCCTGAATTCATTATTGTCACCTTAGACTGTGTCAGTGAAGTTGTATGTTAGTGCAGTGCGAATGTCTATTGTAATCTGAAAGGAAAACGATTGATATTTGCCGGCATCACACGAGGCGATTCAGATATTGGGCAATACATTCTCCGGTTTTCGCTTGTATTTGCAAGAATGATGAGAAATATTCATTGAGACATGCATGCAAAATAAAATTATCGGCGTCAATCAAATATTTCTGTTCACCTGTTAACCTGTAACCTGTGAAATGTAGTTATGCATACATTAGCTTGATTACGTCGGTGTGTTACATAATGCACTTGATATATCATTTAATTTAGCGCATCACTCAGCTAAGAGCAATTAATATTATTGAAATTATTTAATTTTATTATAATTATGATTATGATTATTATTATGACAATGATTATTATATAGCTGACAACTTGTTCCGAAGGACGTAGGTTGGACTTCTACTGAGAGCACTCGAAGTTCTTTTCTCTGAATATACATATGTCATCTACAGAATTACACCTCCTTTCACTCATTTCACTTTGCCTTTTATACAGTTACGGCATAAGCAGATATTTTATAAAGAAAATCAACACTTTCTTGGATAATCTAGGAGTGCCATTCCTCTTTTATGGTTTTTTTTTTTAAGAGAGCCAACTTCCCTTTCATTCTCATTTTATCCTTATGCATTGGATGTTATTTGATGAGGCAATTTTTACACCTAAAGAAAGTAAAATTTCCACATAAATGCTATTGTCAAAAGACAGGGTCACCATGAAAACATTTCAGGAGAGACTTCTGGCAATGCAATTTCATAATAACTGGAGGAACCATATCGCCTTTAGAGAGAATCAGTTTCATCATGTGACTTGACTCAGCACCTTTCATCATGGTACCACTCCGTTCTGATGGTGCCGTACAATGCTCCTTCGAAAAGGGAATGCAAAGTTATTATTATGAACGTTCCCATTCAAGGTTTCAGTTCCTCCTTTATCGGCTTGCTCTTGCTTTAATCGCGTCAAAAGCCGCAACTCCCGTCGATGTTTTGCTTTGAGATTTTCCAGTCTGAGACGGCAGTTTTTATGAAATTCGGTGAGAATCGTCTTCATCGTTTCTTTGCTGTTGTCATATTTGTCCCTAGGTTTTTGTTTGTTCAGAGATTCCAAGTAGTCACTGTATTCTGGTCCCAAAATAAAGGTAAAGTAGCTTAGTATCCTTATGATTATCATTGTCAGCTTAGACTATGTTAAATCATTAAACACTTGTCACGGAGAAATCGTCTATACTGTAAATAATTATCTTAATTCGGAGCAGTGACCACTTTCAAAATGGCCCAATGCATTTGTTTGTTTGTTTGCTTATTTTTTGTTGTTGTTTTTTTTGTTGTTTCTTTTTTTTAAGTGCAAAATTAGCGAGCCATTGAAATGCAATGGTAATCAATGGGTCTCTCTCTATAAAAAATGGCTCGGCAAGGGAGACATTATCTATCAAATGCTTATTTCCATTTAATCATAGGCTTACGACCTGAACTGGACAGTTCAATTGCGGGCAAAACGACTCAGGGGCTCAATCGTAAACTCATTCACTCTGACGAAGGGCTAACCCTTGAAACGTCAGCTTAAGAAACTCTTTACGGTGGCCAATTTGCATCATCAACTCACTTGATAGATCTAAATTACCCTATAATAGCCTAGCTGACGCCATACCACAATTTCTCTAGAATCTAACTCCTCAACTCAATGAAATTTTAGTATCTTACCGAGTCTCTTCGGAGATGGATTGCGATTCTTTCTGGTGGTTAGCTCATATAGTAGGAAGATAACTGTCAGCACGCCAAAGGCACCTCCACACCACGTCATCGTTTGGATGTACACCACAGACTCTGCGTCAAACAAATTCTCTGTCTTTTCTGCCGTATTGTCTTTCTGAAGTCCCTGAAAATTCAGTAATGTGTTCCTGATTATTCATTCATAAATAGTATATTTTCGCGTGACTTGTGCTTACGGAAAGGTTCGAACGAGGTTCTGACGCACTGAGTGGTGGCTGGGATCGATTAAGTACATCACATATATCTCATTCGATGACTAAGTTGGTTATTTCATGCCATACGAAGCAACAACTTTCCGCTCACTCAATCGTTGATCTGGTGGTGAAACACGCCAATAGTTGACGTTTTTGTTTTCTTGCAGCACTTCACTCCACGATGTGCCCCATCTGTAAACATTCTGGTGGATTTTTCTTAATGTAACAGCATATGAAAAATTTTTCCTGCGAACGCAATTCTACATATTTGTTACCACGATATTCTCCTTGATATCTCGAAAGAGATCTTTCTCAAATGCGAGAAACTGAGTGTAATCGTCCTTTAAGGTGAAACAAAGCGAAAAAGTGCTTGAAAAGGAAATATCCTATCTACAAAGAAATGTTGCCTCCACGAGGACAAAAGGTCGTTTTCGAACGTTTCGTTTTGTTACCTTCCTCTTTGACATCAAGTAACTGGGAAACAGTCATAAAACAAAGAAGGAAAATTCTCGTCGTAAAGTACCATAATGATAATTACCGTAACGCCTTGAACATTGTCGGTGATGATTTGAAATACAGACACCCGCTCCTCCCTCAAAAACTCACGAAAGCATTTCTGCAACTTTCTAGCTTGTCCAGCCATTACAACTCCATATGCTGAGGAGTAAGAGATTATCTTGGTCATACGGAGAACTCCATCACTGAACAATTCCTTCCGACTTCCCACAGTGTAGGAATCTATGAGGGCGCCATCTACACGTCTGTCTTTCAAGGACTGGTACAAGTCCTCAATGGTGGCTACTATAGGTAAAAAAAATGAATCTTGTTGGTGCCACGTTCATAACAGTTAGTTTTCATACCCAACAAGTTTTTTTTTCCGAACGACCTTCTTCTTTCAATTTGTAGGGAAGACGGAACTATGTGACATGCTTTTTTCCTTGACTAAAAAGAGCCTTTGTCCAATAATTTCAGTCTTTGAACAAAGGGATCCGTTAACGGAAATTTTTACATGGAGCACTTTTGTGGTTGAACGTTAATTGATGACGACAAATTGAGGCCTAAGGAAATCTTTCCTCCAGCTGGTTTCCCTCACAATTCCTCCTCGAAATGTACACTTCCAAAAAAAGAGAAAAAAAAATTTTCTTGATCAACTTGATCCTATTTTTGATTCCAACTTACCTCCATGCATGCGAGCATTCAATCGAGTTCCAAGACGAAATTCCGGTGTATCAGCAATGGCGGAAACCTTCGAATCGCAAGAATTAAGACCATATTAATAAGGTATATACTTGGAGAAACAAATTTTTTGAAAGTGAGCCACTAAGCAATCTAGGGGGGAACTTACAGTTCTGATTAAATCTAAGTCCTCGTAAGATGTTTGGACGAAGATGATTGTTCATTTTGATCGCAAAGTTAATCGGAGGAAGGAAGGAGGAAGGTTTGAAATAGAGAAATTCAAAGATTTGTTTCACCTTTGATCCATACACGGCAATATCCGATTTCATGACATTCATTGTCAAAGACGTAGTGATGAATGAAATCACAAGTGCGATGATGATGAGGCCACAATTGATCCAAACTATTCCAAACAACTTAGAGTGTATACCACGGGGCACACGGTCTCCATATCTGACAAAAAGAAAAAGGCAATTGTACCTTTCACATGCAAAATTCTACCGCAAACCTTTTATGGCTGATGATGTAACAACGCCAACTCAGAATGTAAGTTTTCAGGACCATAACTGGAAAATGGTTGACGAAAGGAATTTGCAAAGGGATGCTTCCCTGTTCAAAACCATCTTTATAGTTAAACAGCTCGGCCGGAGATGTGATTATTACTTTATGTGCCCTGTTTCAATATTTTATGAACATAAACATACAGACTTTGCTTGCTTTAGTTGATTAGGCAAAGATACCAAGCGAGCAAATAACATGTTTCATGTTTATCTTACCCCAAAGTTGTCATGGTTACAAAGGCCCACCACATTCCTTCAATTGGTCCTCTTATAGGAGAGGAAGGAAATTCTTGTGCATTGAAAATGAAATCCTGTTGGTAAACAAAAATTTACTGACTGGAAGTAACGCCTGGGTGAAAAAATCTTTAGTTTTAATCATTTTTGTTCAAGTGGCATCTGGTTAACAAAGTTTCCTGCGTCAATTCTGTTTTGCAAGTTAGCGCGTTTTTAATTGCGTGTTTTCTATTTTGTTTGTTTGTTTTTTTTTTATAGTTCTCCCAAACGAATAGAATTATTGATAAAGAAAATAACGTATAAGTGGGATCAACTTTGCAGCCTCACAATACAAAAAAAGCCAAGGTTATTAAATATTAAATGAGCTGCATGTAATCATGAAGTACTTGTTCCAAAAAAAATTCTGATTAAGTGCGAATAAACAATCAAACGACACTTACCATAAGCCACATAACTATTCCAGAGAAGAAAGCTGAAATGAACACAGTCACGATCAAAGGCCACAAGTTTAACACAGCTTTGACTACCATTTTGGCCGTAGCTCCTGGTTCGTCTCCAGCCACGATGAACGAAACTCCAGCGGACTGCACTAAAGGCGCAAAACCATATTCATTGGAATAATCCAATTGTTCCATCCGTCCGGAAACGGGAAAGCTTAACTCTTTCGCGTCATCTATTGCTTCTCTGACTTGTTTCTCGGTACTTTTCTTAGCTGCAGAGTTGTGCCCCGAGTAAAGGAAATCAATTTCTGTGTAGCCATGTTGTTTACAATCACCACAACAGCTGCGGACGACAAGACGCAGAATTGGCGGGAAAATACCGCTCACGTTGCCGCTCTCACCTTTAGCCATGTATGGGGGGTTCAGCCAATAGTTTGTGTAAAGTTTTTTGTTGCAGTTGCAGGTTTCTAAATCAAACAGGAAATCAATTTCTTTCAATGTATGCCACAGATTTGAGAGATCAGTGCAAGTTAATGAGCTACAATCATTCTCTAATTTTTTGTTTGGTCGTACGTTATTTGGAAAACTAGCCACGGCTTTCCCGTTCGTCTGATTCCTTTAATTGCACTTACACAACACAAAAAGGATTAAAAATCGCCTCACCTTGCGAAATGCGAGCAGTTTTGAACAAGATTGAAAAAATTTGCAAATTTTACTTACCCGCAAAAATTATCGAGGAAGGTGTACCGTTGCCTTTTCTGGTAAATGCTCGAACTTCGATGCTGTAAATTGTAAAAGATTCCAAATTACGGAGCTCGAGAGAAAAAGTATTCGGTCCAACTGTGATGTTTTTTTCCCTTTCACTCAGCTCTTCATTAGGGTTTCTGAGTGCTCGATAAGTCACTGTATAACCCAGCAGTATGCCATGAACATAATATGGATTCCCAATCGGTTTCCACGACACCGGGATCGTCGTGGGAGTGAATTTGCTGATGCCTTGGACGTTTTCTGGAGGCCTTCCCGGAGCTGTGAAGGGATCACAAAGGTATTAGGTTACAGAACTAATTGGCTACATTCTTTCCCACTCTTCTTTTTAAATTTGCAAGTTTTACCCCAACAAATTATCACATTAATTCAGAAAGTGACCCAGTATATTTAATAGTTCATATTGTTAACGTTTCTAAGGTTAACTTATCTCTTTTTCTAGTGCTGACACACTTTCATCTTGAATCCAAAATATGAACGTGAGTTATCTGCTAACTTCCACTTATGGGCTCGTTAGTAGTGGCTTCGATGTCAGCATAGCTATTATCGTGATATTAGCCTATATACCTTGATCTAAAAATACTAAATGCAGGGCTCTCCTGATGTATTTAAGAGAAATGTATTGACCAATGCTGAAAATCAACAACAAACCAACAAAACAAATTCGACATTACCATCCTCATCAGTCTGTACGAGAACTTCAGGGCTAATGACACCCCAGCCCATCCTGGTGAAACCTAAAACTCTGATGCCATAGTTGGTATACTTCCATAGTCCTGTCAGCTCCACGCTGGTGCTGTTCGGTTCCACTTCGTGATCCTTGTATAGGTCCTGCGACTCGTTCATAGCACGATATAAAACGACATACCCGGATAATACTCCATGGACATAGCCGTGTGCTATTGGATTCCAGTTCACTTTAATGTTCGTAGAACTTGTGTTGAAAACCTTGGTTAAAGTTGGTGGTCTGCTTGGCCCTAAGATACATTTGGACAAAAGATGTCCTTTAAGTTGGACATTCCATCGGATATTAAAATTATTAAAAGCAGAAAAACCTTCACAGTACCAATCTAACCACTTTGATACTATTGAGAATTTAGGTTGAATTAACCCTTTACATTCCAAACTCAATCTCCATACTGTCCTCTGTATACACGTCTGTTGATACTGATAAGGTAAATTCGTTTAACAACCAAACCTTCTTAGGTTGGCGATCATTTCCTTAATTCTTATGATCTTAAGTAATGATTTAGCATATTACTGCAAGGAGAAATTAGATGCTGGTCACTCTTAGCGTTTGAAGGGTTAATTAGGTGGAATCTCATTCTCCTTAACAATTACGAATAGTTTTATCAAGTTGTTGAAAGCACTTACGGTCTTCTTTCGTGGAAACGGTAAAAAACTTTGCTCTGACGCCGTTCCCCTTCGAAGTGTAAGCCAAGATGGTAACATCGTACTCTGTGTACTTGGAGAGGTTCTTGAGCTCCACTGTGGTTGATTCAGCTGACACGTTCCTTGATCTAAGCTTTTCTTGACTTGACCGCGATTTCTTATACAGAATTCTGTAGCCAAGAATAATGCCGTTTTGATGATTTACAGGCACTGGTCGCCAGTGGATGAATAGGCTTGTTGAAGTGGAGTTATCCTTGGCAACCGTAAAATTTTGCGGAGGCTTAGAAGGCACTGTATCGAGAAAAAGAGACTTAAAACTATTGGAGGTTTAGTATGATCTGATACAATAAAACTCAATACCATTTTTTATTTAAACACGTATCGTCCAAGAGCTATAACTCGTTCAAGATACAAAGTTAACGTGTGTAAACAACATAAATTGATCAAAAAATTTACAAACACATTAAATAATGAAATATTAAGAAATTGTAAATAATAATGACCAAAAAAACGATATAACGATTCCAAAGAATAGCATTATGAATATTCCATTGGAATTTTTTAGACGCGCTGGGTTATGAAATTTGTTGGGAAGACTTTTCCTGATGTTCGCAGCTATATAGCTGAATAATATTTCTTTCACAGTAATTTAAACCTAGATAAGGCTGGCCTATATCCATCTCTCCTGAGAATACAGTTCGTTTTTCTAAAGCTTAAAAGGTTTTTAACATATATATATATATATATATACAATCAGGACCATCTCCACATAGACTCTTAAAAACTAATACTATAGACTGATCGATTTGTCGTTTCCTAAGATTTTATAGTTGAATGGTACTCAATATACGTTCATAAAGAAAAACCTTTCCGCTGACTGAAACAAATTTAAGGATCGAAAGCCTTAGATCTGACATCGTGTAATCGATCGATAACGAAATGTCAGAAGCCTTAGCAAGCTTTGCTAATAAGTTAAAACCGAAGCACCCTTGTCACCTGATCCCAAAGAAGTTTACTTCATCAGCAATTTCCTTTATACCGTGGGAAAACTATTCAACACAACCCGCTTAGCCAGAGAAAAGTTCACGCAAACAGCGTTTTATAAATATTATTTTGATAATTAAGTGGAGGGACGTATATGTCATGGAACATATCAAGACAACAATTTTTTTAATGAATCTGGAAAACTGCGGGTCAGGTTGCTCTGTATTGCGGCACACGGAACATTATAAAAAGGTTAAATAAATTATAAGGCAGCAAGCAATTATAGAGGAACAATCAGGAAGGGAATACGGTCGTTTGATCGAATGACTTGAAGGGGAAATAGCCGCGTCGACATCAGGCGTAGAGAACAGCTGCTTACCATCCTCGTCTGTCCTGATCATGTAACCTTTGGACAACAATCCCTCTCCTTTCCTGGTAAAAGCCCCAACCTGAAACACATACGCTCCATATTTCTTAAGACCGTAGATGGTGGCATCGTAGATGTTAGCACCAACTACAACTGTTTTCCATGTGTTAAGGTAACCTGGTTCCACTCGACGATATTCTACTCGGTATCCTAGCAACCGGCCGTGTATATACCGTGGAGGAAGAGGGTCCCAGTGCACTCGAATGCTCGTGGAACTGGTGTAATATATCTGTGAGATGTTTGGAGCCCTGCTGGGAACTGTTGGATTGGAAACGAAAATTAATTGAAAGCTTCAAGCAAGTAATCAGACTAAATGTGCCTATACAGCCGTTTATTGATTAAGGATGTTGTCTTTATTATAAATAATTACCAAACCTTCATTTTTTCTACGATTAATCTTAGAAGAGTTCGCCAAAAAACTTTTATCACACAGGCTACGATGGTAAGAGCTTCGTTCATTGTTATCTATTTCTTGCTTAGATCGGCATTTTCTTGGTGAGTATACTACATTGAGTTATGTTCATTCGACAATCGCCTATTCTTCCCTTGGTTTTTGATAAATGGTAAATCAGCCTTATTGACTAAGACGAGTTTGCCGTGCACTTAACTTCTTAACATATAACTCAGACTTAACAAGCAAAAGATTTGAAGAAAATTCCTTATTCTGATGAAAATGAAGAAAACAAACAGAAAACCTTACCACCCTCGTCTGTCCATACAATAACACCTTGACTGACGACACCAATTCCTATTTCATTGATAGCTGCTATGCTGATTACGTAACAATTGTACATCACCAATCCAGAAAATCGATGGCTTGTGACATTCGGTAAGATTTTTACAACTTCTGTTACATTCGTTGCTACTCTTGTGAGATTCATCTGGTAGCCGAGTAAGACTCCATGAAGGTACTTTTCTGGCAACCGGTCCCATTCAACGAAAAGCTCCGTCGAACTCAAGTTTCGGGCGGTCACATTTGCAGGTGCACCATCTGGAACTAATGTCATATCTTACATTACAACAGGACCAAACATTCCGAAAATCGAGGACACTAAGAATTAAGCACTATTAAAATACTCATCCATTTTTGTTTTCATACTCCAAAACCAAGATTTTTTCAAAAGCGATCTCCCTCAAGATTATTTCGAGCGTTGGTGGTTGTCGACAAAACCTGTGCCATTGTCAGTGCTAAGAATGAGAACAGCAAGATTTCGCTGGTATAATTGAATAATTAGCATCTTTCCCAAAATGTTTCATCAAAAAATCGGAGGGATAACGTCTTGAAAATTTTTATTTACTCACATTTAGAAAGTTCCAGCCTATATCGCGACGATTGCAGCGCTTCCCAATGTGCGAAGTTCATTCTGCACTCTGACCGTCAATCATTATAATTAGGAACCATCCCATTTACCTAACCCTGAGCAATTTACAGTTCGCCCGCCTCTTTTGCATGATAATCCTTAACATTTTGCGGGTTCCGTTTACAGCTTAATGATGGTCATTTTGGGCACGTTGGGCGGAGAGGTACTGTAGGAGTAAAGTGTCGTGACTAAAAACACCAAACAATGACCTCGACCAAATTACTGCTACCGGAGTTCGACCTCGGATTGCTAACAGTAGCTAGGATCATTACAGTGCCGCATACCCATTTATTTCCCCTGATCAAGGTCTATAGCTTTCACACTTTCTGAGCAATATCTTACCATCCTTATCTGTGTAAGCGCACACTGGGAGTGAAGCAATCCCATCACCTCTCCTGTTGTATCCCATGACACGCACACAGTACATGGTGTAGATCTTCAAGTCCTTTAGCTCTGCTTTGGTGTTTTCCTCTCCAGATATCACACGACTCCACCTGGTAGCGTCCTCTTGTGTAGTATAAAGAACACGATAGCCAAGGATATCCCCACCAACAACGGTGCGAGGCCGAATTTTGTTCCAAGTGACCATGATGCTTTGGGAGCTTGTGTTTCGAGCTGTGACGTTTTCAGGGGCGTCACTAGGGACTAATAAACAAAGAATGGAAAGAACTGCGTCTGTCGAAACAAATTTATAAGTTTAAAGAGAAGCGATAAGCCCATTTTTGTCCCATGCATTTGCTTCCACTCACTTTGGTTATAACTTTATGAACGTCAAATCTCTAAACCTTCCCTAATTCCCGTAAAGGATGCTTTTGGCGTAATTTACATATTCCTCTATTCACGTTAGAATGCACCATTACATCAAAAACTTACCGGCAGCGCTGTTTATGTATTCCGCTTTAGCTTCCATTTTGTGCAGCATTTTCTTAACCGTCAGAGCGTCTTGTAACGCAATAATTCCGTTGTACTGAGCAGCCATGAAATTAAACTGAAGAACGCATTGTACAACAGGCCTGACAGAAACAGAGAGTGAAACTTTAATTTTATGAGAACTTTCTTGTTCTTCAATTGCTCTGTGTATTTGAGACAAAACGTCGTAAGACGTAGCAAGGTTCGGCAACGTCCGGGTCTTGGAGGGCTGCATTTGTTATAATTTTTCCGATTCTTATCTTTCATCCGCTGCAAATGATTCATCATCGTACATACATTTATAGCATTAGTTGATAAGAGAACGATGTGAGACATCACGAAAAGTATGGACATATTTGACTTGAAGCCGCCTTCCACACAAAAGTTTTTCAAAATTGCTGTTTCTAAGACGCCTTATTGTTAATTTAATTATGGAAACGTGTTCCGTCAATTCAATACCGCTTTGTTCATTGGCAGCCTATTGAAATCTCAACGCCACCTTAACATTCACAAACGAAAAAAGGTGTGCTTCAAAGGATTGAAACACAGTAAAAAGCTCCCTATATTTTTAGATTGGATTAACTGCAACAGTAGAGAAGCCGTTTTCAAGGTCAGGTCTTTTGATGTTGTTAAGATTCTATGTCGAATGAATACCTTAGTTCGATAATGAAGATTGAAAGAAAATTTGGCCAATTAGCGATACAAGTTCACATAGGAAAATAAACTAGGTAACTGGTAACAGGAGTGCAAAATGTAACTAATTCTGATCATTCCTTTATCTATTTACCGCTTCCCGCCCTTACCCCGAGGCGTCCGCAAATCCACACGATTTGACTTCAACTGAGTCCAGAGCAGAATTTTCGTCGTAAATACTTAGCACCTGAAAGTCATATACATAAATCAACCGTGTTAAAGAACATTAAAATACCAAGTCGAGCGAGGAGCGAGGAAACTGGGAAACATCCAGGAAACAAGTCTCTGAACAAGCAGGAATCATATCGGAAGCAAGGAGAAATTATAGGGTATTCCCTTAGTTGAGGAGCAAAACAATGATAACCGTGATAAAAAGACGCTGTATGGAATGCTGATCAGATAAACTGTCAGATTGCACTTCACGAAGAGAAAAAGAGGATAAATGTAGGAGAAACTTACATTGTACCTGATCTTGTTGGCTAGCGCTTGGAATATCTTACTATTTTTATTCATGAGATCTGGAGTAAACGTTTCGCCTGGAAATCTGACGGGCGCTATAAAGCTAATATCTAAATAAAAAGAAAAAGAACAAGGTAAGAAACACAGTTGTAAGTATACATAATTACTTAAAGAAACTAAATGAAGCTGAAGTGACTTTAAAAATTGTGTATTTAAACAATTATTTTAAAAGAAATCAAATAAAGGAGGGATTTGGATCACACAGCTAATTGAAATGATATGTAAAGCTCTCATCATTTACACCTGGACGGTCCGGGCCGTAGACAGTTTTGTCCTTAACATCAAACATGACCTCGTGGTCCAATTTTTAAAAATATTTTCCAATTTTTGTCCTAGGCTGTCATGGCGTCATGGCTTCTGCCAGCTGTCGATTTTCTAAGTATTCCTAAAGGTCCTTCTCTTATTCATTTCAGCTCATGGATAATCATATCTCCTTTTTCCGAAAATTGTATCGACTTTTTGTTAAAGGACAGTCGAGTAAGGCGGTCTGACTAAGGCTTATTCAAAAATGAGCTTTCGGTTCAATTCAAAATAATATCGACCACGACTCTGACGGACGTTATATCAGATAACTATCGATCGGCAAGACATCATTCATTAGGCTTCAGCTTTTAACCTTTAAAATAATACCACATACCAAGACTTGAATAGTTCTTTGATCAGCAAGAATGAAAATGATGAACTTTAGCTTTCAGCGTTTTTTTACACATAAAAATAAGACTGTCCATTTGTATATCAAGGATAAGGTAAGAGAACACCTGTCTTTTGGTCGTGGTTCCAAATTTGTTGACGCTACCTCCAAAATGCTATCACTATTCATTTGTATTGCATAAAGTTGAAGGAAATGACGCAATTAAAAAAAGAGATTAATCTTACCAGGACACCTTTTTGTGTTGCAATCACGACTCTCTCTTGCCGGTCCCAAAAGCGAGCAATCTTTTCCCTCGTATTCTGGTGCAGGGTTGTTGCATTGCCGAGCCCTGACGCTCTCGCCACCACCACAAGATCGAGAGCATGATGAGAAGTCAGACCACTCCCCGTAACCTCCATCCACAGGGCAGGGTTTTGTGTTACAAGGCACCACCTCCCTTGGGGGTCCCATACGTGTACAATCCAGTCCACCTGCCTCAGGTTTAGGATTTGTGCAGTTGCGTGTCCGAAAATGCGTCCCACCTGCACAAGATTTTGTACATGGGCTGAAAACAGACCACTTTGTGTAACCTCCGCTGACTGGACATACCTCAATGTTGCACGGCTGGCTTTCAATTGCTGGTCCAAGGTGAGAACAATTTCTTCCTTCGCCAAAAGGGAAAGGATTATCACATTTTCTCGTTCTTGTTTTTTTTCCCACACCGCAACTTTTTGTGCAAAGACTGAATGCACTCCAGTTGCTATAGTTACCATCAACAGGACACACCTTAACAAAGCAGGACAGCTGTTCATTCGTGGGCCCAAACATTGTGCAGTCTTTACCTCCGTACTGAGGAGCTGGTTGAGTGCATGTTCTCGTCCTGGTCTTTGTTCCTGTTCCACAGCTTGTGGAACATTCACTATAATCTGACCATCCACTGTAACGGCCATGAATGGGACAAGGATTTTCATTACAATCTACTTCCTCTAGCTCAGGACCTAAAGCTGAACAGTTAAGTCCGCCGTATCGAGGACTAGGGTGAGTGCAAGTTCTAGTTCTGTATTGTTTACCACCTCCGCATGTAAATGTGCAGGAGCTGAATTCCGACCATGCGGAGTAGTTACCGTGGATAGGACAATCTCTGAGAAAGCAATCTTCCAAATCGATCGTGGAACCTTGACATAAGCTGCCTCCGTGTTTTGGCGGAGGATTCGTGCAGGATCTGTTCCTCGTTTTCACACCCAGTCCACATGTGACCGTACAAGGACTAAATTTAGACCACTCAGTGTATTTTCCATCCACTGAAAACAAAGTAACAGATAGGCTACTGCTGGAAAATGTGATTCTCAAGGCCTAGTGGACGAGTCTAGGGAGAGGGCTCGGGGTTACAGAGCCTCCATTCACGTCAGAGCTGTTTTTTTCTTTCAATTCTTGTTGGACAGCAGAAATTCTTGCAATGCAGTATCGTATGTTAGTACTGGATCTAACGTTTTTAAAAAATCACTTATCTTGAAATACTTCTTAGTGTAAGACTCGTTGTTAGAATAGGAGTAATGCTCATTTTATTCACATATGTGACCAGGCCCAGCTCACATTTATCCTTAACTTTCCCTATAATACCCTCAGAAACCAAAAAGAGGTCGTCCCTTTTGTTAACATAAACACACAACACACTAAAAAAACAAATACACAGACACAAATTTGTCTTCAGTGACCGATTTGAAATGATAGAGTGTTGCATATTACCTGCCTTGGACTCCATGATATAACAAACATCCTGTTTTGATAAAACACCATTCCAGATAGCAAGTTCATCTATGGTCATCTTGATGCTATTTAACCGAGCATTGCTCGCCCCAAGTATTAGCATATTATTTGGCGGAACTGACGAATACCTATAACTAGCCCCAACATTATATTTCTCGTATGACACGCTACTACAGTTGAGGAGAACACCAATTTTGTTATCTATTTTGTTCCACGAAAGAGCCACGAAAATCCAGCTCGCATAGGTCCAGTTTACTTGTACGTGTCGCTGGGTTGCACGACCATTTACATAAACCCCAAAATAGTCACCGTCGATTTGCATCGTTGTTCCAACAGCTTGCGTGGCAGAACCTATCTGCATAACAAATCGTTTGTTCTGACGGTCGTCAACTCGAAGCCAGAAAGTTGCCGTAAACCCTGTTTTACAAGCTTCCGGATTACTTATACAGTGAAAAGAGAAATTTCCTAGGTCAGCCCAGCTTCCTAGAAACCCATCCAGTTGAAGTCCGTTCTTGCTGTAAGCCTGCACGCTTGTGGTACCCCTTTGGTCTAGAATTCCAGGATCTTTGAGTGTGTTGAACGGCCAATAATAGCTCGCCTTCTGGTACCATGGGTCATCACCTTTGTTTATGGGCAAAGAAATTAATACTGAATACATAACTGATAATGTACCTTACAAACATATTTCTAATACTGAAATAATGATTACAATATAAATAGTAATGTTAATGATAATAACCATAACAAAAAGACAATGACGACAACGATAATGATGTTGAATGATTTTCAGAAACGCGACAGTCATTCCACCGAAATATAGTGATTAAATGATGAAAGAAAACTCATATAGGAGAATGCTGTGTTGAAATGCAATTTTACGATGCGTGGGAAACATTGGCGACTTTGTTAAACTCGCTGAGCATTCCAGGGTTATGCAGGGTGGAAAAGAATGCAGATTGTTGCAAATATCTTTTTCAGTTTTTAGACGACAAACGATCAGCAAGATCATTCGACATAATTAAACGAGCCGTGTGCTTCATCAAACTGTTACCATTTCTGTTCTGATCTCGATGGTAAGTAGTGACTATGAAATCGTTTCGACAGCCTGATTGGAGTCGGGGTTTGACTTTGTGTTTATCTTACTTTATGATTTGCTTTTATATTATCTCATCCTTACTGATTGGTAAAGAATAAAATGTAAAAAACTCTTCGTGAGCATTTTCGTAATAGTTTAGATACCAATCTACAAGTAAACGACATTGCTAGTGTTCAGTTAGCTTAATAATTACATGCATTGAAAGATAGCCTCTGTCTACGTTGTAAATTATGAATACATATCTCGCCGGCCCACAGGTATTCTGACTTGCTCGATGCAAATCAAATAAGTTGTAGAAGATAGCACAAGCAAAGTGCCTCTATATATTCTATATTCATTGGATTTGTTTTAAACTGGCCTTTTATTTCACCTGCTATAATCAGTTTAAGTTATGGAAGCAAATGTTTTCTTCTGACGCCAGATTTGTTCTAGGGACTAAATCTTCCATAAAACTATGCCTGTAAGCTAAATTACTCAGGTTTACATTTGCAAATAATGATCAGGAATCGTAATAACTGCTAACCACCACGAACATGATTATGATTCGCAGTTTCTGAGGGTATTACAGCGTGGGCGGTAAACTTTCGTCAGATAGATTTCGGAAAGCAAAACTGAATTTCTGAATAAGTAATATCCATTCAAAGACTAAGCAAAACAGTATGAATCTAGATGATTTACAGTATGCAATATATTCACAGTGAGTGCGTAAGTAATAACATTCGCGACTGACACGGCAGTTATTTCATGGGAATTTGCCCTTCTGCCTTTTCAGATTGTATAGTATTAATACCAATTTCGATTTCCTCTCTAGTTTTTCTTATTGACATGATTCGATACGAAACATTATTTTGAAAATTTGGTTCGTGCCCTAACCATGAACGAGTTATTTTTAATCTTGTGGTTTTCCAAGATGACAGGTTGTTCGCGGGTCTATTATGTTGAGCTCAACTGGAATCCAATTGTTCGGACATGCAAACGAAATCGCGAAAAATCATGAAAAGAAAAGAAGACATAAAAAATAACTGTGTATTTTTCTCAGTGTTAATGCTAAGATTTGGAAAGAAAGACGAAGACTAATTTTAGCGAAAGTTCGAAACCCCTAAAAAAGTATTTTGATAGCTGTAGCTCGTCACCTGTAGTGATATTTCTAACGAAACTGAATGATTCATCGCCGATGCACAGATGCAAACGACATAAGGATTCATAGAGAGTAAAGTAAAGTTATAATGAAGATATATTTGCATGTTTCAGTTCACTAGCTCTGAAATGGTAAACAGCAGTCAGATTACATTGTCTTAGCCCTAACTGTCAATTTAGTCCATTGTGTTCGATCTACATTGTAAGGTTGGATGTGGCGATATATTTTACAGCTCCGTGGTGAAATAATCCGTGACAATGCTAGTTAATTGAGAAAATGCGTTACATGGTGTTTGAAATTTACTTTAAATAAACCCTTGCACAATTATCGATGTGGCAAATATGACGGTTTTGCGTAGTGAAACACTTTAATGAGTACCTTAGAAATATCCCTATTTACAAGTATATAGTCTCTAGGTCAATGGTAGTGATATTAAACACGAAATTTTCAAAGAATCTCTCTTACCAGCTACAGTAAGCCCATTTGCAAGATGAAAGCACTGAAATTAAAAATAAAAAGAATGGAAAATGAGAGGAGGAAGACGCATTTTAAAATCCTAAAGTTGATCATTAGATATCTCACCTGCTGTAGTATTAAAACAGTCACGGGGCTACAAGCCTTTCCAAAAAATATCTCCATCGTGGAGTTGCAAGCCCCGAATGGCTTTCACTTAACTTTGGTTACGAGTCTTTGATCGATCCATTTTGCATTTGTTGTAGACGACAGTCCGTAGAGTTTATCATGACAATCAGGCGCTGCTGTAAAGTCTTCAAGCCAAGGTCGTTCATTCGTTATGTAATTGTGTCTTTTAACTCAGGGGCTGTATTTAAAGTAAAAATGAAACATTTTTAATAATTGATAATTGGTGGATAATTACAGCGCCGCTCGGTAATACTTTAAGCTTTTCCTTTTGTCAATGAATGCAAAAGGGACTTAGAGTGGTTAGAGTGTAAATCAACACGCTGTTGTATTATTGGGCGAGCAAAGTTAAGCACTTGAGGAAAACAATTTCTTGGTCATCGAGTTTTACCATCACACAATTAAGACTGTCTCTCCAAAAATTGCTCGTGTGGAGTGAATGCTTTAGTCGGTAGTACAATAAGGTTTATTTAACCACAAGATGTCCGCAAAATTCATCCCCAGCTTCGCTAGAAGTGAGGATGTCTGCAAACTCTTTGTAAACTGCATAAGATGTGAATATCACTTTAGAACACATGCTACGAGCTTAATGAAACAAAATTAAAACGCGACCAGGTATCTTAATCCAGTTATGTTGCTGGATCAATAAGAGAAAGAAGAAGGGTAACATTCAGTAATAAGCTTCCTAATTAAGAAGCTCTTGAACTAAGTGGTTTATATGAAAATTTAGAAAACGAAACATACACTGCATATTATACTTAGCATTTTCCCTTACTTTTGTTTCGACAAATGTACGGTTGATTGAATATTCAAATTAATTTATTATAATTTTTTTCCATTGCCATTCTTTGGAGTCGAAAACACTTTGAGAAAATTAGAGATGCCACAATTCCAAAAGCAACTTAAATTAAAAATGAAATTTTAGTTCTGTAATTTAGGTGATCGCTCATGGACCATTGTGGTACCTTGGAGTTTCCTGTCATAAATAGCGGAAAAATAAAAGTCTTCGCCCGAGGTAAGAACTGTAATAGGCGGCCACCTTTCAAGCCATGCAATTTCTATTCGTGGCTTATAAGTTAAAAAAAAAAAAAAACCGGCGGACAATGCTCCTAAACTGTGTTGTTAAATAAAAATTCCCATGCAAATGCTTTGATTTTCTCCTTATCTAGAGTGATCCCTATTTTAACAACACGTTGCGTGAGTCTCGCCTCTGCCAGCCCGCTGAAAATCTCTTTAATCAGTTGAGGCCTGATTTCAATTACAAATTATCGTTTAATTTACCCCCTGCGATACCTGAATTCAAGAATTTTATAGCTATTACGCCGAATCTGCATCTCCTACATGAAATTCACGATTTTGCTTCTGCTTATTTTGGGAAGAGTCTGCAACTAAGGCGAAAGCCAACCACGGAACTTGCCCTCAGTCTTAATTCTTTTCATTGTAAGTTAAAATGAAGACAAAAGTGAATACGTTTTTTCAAACTTTGAAAAAAAGTTATATGCAAGAGTCTCAAAAAATGATGACTGACGCTACGGGATTTGTGGTTTCTACAAATTCTTGTTATCAGTAGGACTATGTATCGGCGCCTTACTGATTTGAGGAATAGTCATACATCATCCCATAAATCCGTGCAAAATTGGATTAATGTTTTTTCAATTTTCGCTTTTCTTAACAGGATTATTCTTCAAATACATAAATAATCTGCAGCTCTCAGCCTTTTAGAAAATATGTCGGCGTTGCGGTTTTCCGGCACTTTAGTTGGATGAAAACTGAGATTTTTTATTGTTCGCGAGGTATATTCTTGCATTGATAGAGAAATATTTTGGCACCACCTGTTACATGAATGTACAAAGCTGTCAAGCAGTAGATCGTCAGTTTGCACCCTATCTGATAGCTAACACGATAGTCTTTTGAAAGGTTTTTTAAATCATTTTAATCATTGAAAAATGTATTTATTCATTAAAGTATCACAAACTGTACTTCATAAAAATATTGCTCATTGACTCTCATTTGAATGGAAACACTGAAGTGTCTCATACGCAGACCTAAAATTTACACCATAGTGTGCAGTATAGGAAACGGTGCCTCGTATCCAGTAGGGTCACATCCGCAGATCCTAAGTTTTAAGCAGCTTTCATAACGGTGGCTCCACTCGATCCGGGTTTAATGAGCACCAAAGAAAATTTTAGGAATTCCTCAAACTTTATCATACTCAAGCTTTGGTGGTCAATATAAAAAGAAACGTCTATTAGTGAGAGCATTACATGGGCAATGTGTCACACACCAAGACAAATAGGGCATTTTTTTTTTCAGTAACAAAAAGTTAAAAACGCGAAATCTTGCATCGTCAGCTAATTAGACCACAAGGGATAGTAATTGTAAAACAAATGTCCATTAAGGAAAACATCAAAATAAAAAAACCCCTCGATCAATATCAGACTTACAGCTCAAACCAATCAGACACCGCCTATTGATATGTTTTCTTTCCGCAAAAAAAATATGTCAGATTAAGGAAGAGTTTCTTCATGGAAGTGGGTTATCTTAGGAAAATAGGACAAAAACTTAGGAAAGCCTTCGTAATTAGTGAAACGACAAGTTCCACAGTTTTTTTGCTTGTGTGAGACAAAAGAATGAAATAAAAAAAACCCAAAACAAGGTTAATCAAAGCTTTCAGCCAAAATGTTCACTTAAATTTACTCAACCCTTGAATAATAAATGCACCAGGAAGAAAGACCTGTTAACTAAAACAACTAGGCTTGGCAAGGGATTCGCATTCTAGTTAAGTTTCCTTAGGAAGCAAAAAATCACCACGTTTGAGGATCTTCTCCTCTCTTACTGGACCACTCAGCCCCAAAACTCGTCCGCTCTCCTTTCTATGTTTCTCTCTTTATTTCGCCGAAAATAATAGAGTACTTCTTCAGAGAAAGCTATGGGAGGCACGCGTTTGAATCTGGTTGACGCCTGAATATTTCCAGGCTCCTTATTGCTCTTTCCAAAATTTCAGCTCATTTTCCCTTGCGCAGAATACATAGAATTGAAAAGATGTTTTTTCGTCAGCCTCAACCACATAAATATTAACACAACCGTGACCAGTACTAAAGAAGGCGTTAATAAACATCAGCCTCCTTACACCAAAAAATTCCGCAAGCTGTAGGCGTGGTGGACTTTATATCTCGCTGCTAATTTCTGAAAAGATTACAGTGGCCTAGCTTACTGGCCGACATGAATCCTCTAATTGCATCGCTTTACATTACATATTGTGCTGCCTCCATTCCGCCCATTTCCGTTTGCAAATTGTGTAAAGGGACAAATTTGGCTGAGCAAATGTTTGAGAGGACATCTAATTGGTTCTCCAAAACTTCCATTTCTCTTTCCGCTTTAGACATCAATTTTTTTAAAAGGCAAGGATACCTCGTTGTTCCCTAGTGAACGTTCATTTGATAAACTTTTTCGCGCTTCACATTGCTAACAAATGATTTTGAAAGAAGAAAGTTGAAAACAAATTAATATTGAATGACCGGTAAGGTGACAAAAAGCATTCTTTTGGTATAAGAAGTTTGTTTTAAGATTAAATGAAAAACCAAACCAAAACATCTTTTCAAAGATTTTTTTTTCTAAAAAAATGAATTGGTGAAATTGCAAGTTGAAATTGAAATTGAAATTGAAGTTTTTCCCATTTCAATCGAGACCAGAAAATGTGTAGTGAAACGGCAGACTTTTGAAAAAATGCATTAGTTAAAGGTAACAGTGAAATAAAAGATCTGAAAAACTTTAAAACATCGTTGTTATCATTAAAGGAGAATAACATCAGGTTTCCATAAATACTTAGTGTGCGTCGAAGGATGTTTACAAGAATAATAATGAGGAAACATATGTTTTTTGAAGAAAATACCCATAAAATATACATACATTTCGTAAGAGTTACGCATTTGTATAATCACTTTGGCGTTCTTTTAATAAACAGTTGAATTTCAACTCGAAGTGCACTTCACAATTTCGAAACGACTGTCGTTTATTTATAGCCATTCAAAGAGTTTTGTCTTAATTTAGATTCTATCGTGAAAAAAAACCAGGCAACTCTGCATCTTGTGGTCTAAACTACAGAGCCAACAACGGGCATTTGCAAATAAATATAACAATCCATAATTGAAACCTCTGAAAATAACAGGTGATTTTTAAAAATGCTCAGCATGCAAAAAATATTTTACCACGACGGTAAAAGAAAAGAAAATTAAAAATCTTGACGCATCGTGCTGAAAGCGTTGCTTTTGTGAGAGACAATCTCCTCCAACTTTGCTTTAAACTGCTGAATGCTTTGGCTGCATTGTCCTTCGTCCATTTGAGCAGGTTCTCATCCAACCTCACAGAAGGATATGTTTCAATTTTGAAAAAAAAAAAACAGCAGGGCCACCATAGCTGAGGGAAGTTTTATCCTTCGAATGTTTAAAACTCGTTTCCTTTTGCATTTCCTCTCAATCTTTTATCATAATGTAGTACTATTTGCAGAAAGGGAGACAGAATAAAAACTCTTTACATTTGGTGTTACTTACCTCCTTTGGCTAAAAAGCTATCAAATTACGCACCTCTGTTTCATTGTAGGCAATACATAAATCCGGCGGTCAGATGAGTTAAATTATATTTGGAAAACGTTAGTACATACTCATGTACTCAAAAAAAAAAGTCAAAGGACTTGAGAAAAAAAGGTCCTGTTCATCGGATGAGGTTCAGGACAACGACAAGCAAACGTGGCGGAACACGATTTTGTACATTAGTATTCCGCGACCGAACTGACGTCATAATAGCTGAACATTTGAATTATAGTTTAAATAATGATCATAGCAAATTCAATACCTTACAACAAACCTCCTGAGCAGGTCAATTATTTATTTTTACTACTGCTGACTGTGAGGTGGGTAATCACAATAATACTCATATCGAAAGGAAAACTTCGATATGAGTGTTGCTATACGATGTACATAGATCTTTGCTATAAATCTCCTGTTTGCTGTTTCAAAAGAAACTTCACTTTTGTATGGAAACTTAATTTTTTTCTCCTGAATCGCCATAAACGTATTTTTTCTGCAATTATTTTGAAAATATCAAGTTTGCGCGTGAAAAGGAAGGGCTTAAGCACGTAGGTTTACCCATATGCGGCTAGTCTGATAAAGTGAAAACAGAATCTCGGTCAGTCTCACTTTGACGAATGCTCTAAGCTAAATAGATAATTTCTTTTTAAACATATTCAATTTCAGGTTTCTTTTAATAATTTTGAGGAAAAATGACCATCATCTCTAAAAACTTCCTATTGCAATATTTAATTTTACTTTTCTTTAATTAAAATAAGTAGTCAATTTTATCTTTACAGATAGAGTAAATGCATTTGATCAAGGAAGCTTCTACAACAACAACATTTGATTCGCTGTTTTCAAGATGTTTGCCAAATGTCTCTGAACACCTTTCCAATGCATGTTTGACTTTTTCTAATGAAAATGTTCTATGATGGCGTAAGTTCCGATTCCTTGATCAACCGAGTGATCGTTCACCACGAAAACAAAGCTTTGCACTAAACTGTCTTATCCATTCACATACTGAAATAATTTTTTTGTTTCAGAATATCTTAATCTAGAATCTTAATACATATTCATCACAGTTATTGTAATTGTAACGGTATCTGCTGTCGAGGAAGTAGAATTTTACAGTTTTGAAAATTGTTACTGTGAGTCTGTAAATAACCTCAAATTTACTTTACATAAGAAAACATAATGAAATTTTCTTCTAATGTTATAAAAAACCTTATCTCTCGACAAATATGGTCGGTTTTGCAATTACGTCTCTATAAACTTTAAACTCGACTAAAAAATGAGTTTTAAATTTCCAGGTGGCTCCGGTTGAAGTTTAGTGTGCGAATTCAAGAATTCATATCTGCTTTCAGCGGAAAATTTAAGTAGACGATGCCCAAGTTTACGGGGTTGAACGGAAATCGAAAGAGCTATCATTACTGCAACATCAAAGTTCTTATTACTTACCGCGCGTTATCCTGTCGAAAATATAGAATTCGCAGCAGCCCGAAAACCCGTTTACTTCTCACATGGAATTCTGTAAACAACAACTAACTTGCACTTTTCCGATGCTCAGCAATTCCTTTTCCTTTCTGCGAGTTCGTCAAGTTGTGTGTTCTTGTTTTTTTAGTCTTAGTTGAGGAACTGGGTCCTCTTAGAGGTTTACGCCCTCTTTGAAGCCATATTCCGTGCCTAGCAAAAATATTCCTGACCTTTCCTCAATTTAAACGTCAACCCTATCAGCAAAGATCTTTCCTTCGCCAATCATTATACTGACTTAACTCACAGGTTGATAAAATTAATCTAATGAATAGTAAATTTTTTGTAATCAAGCACAATGACACCTTTTGGAATATTTTGCTGTACAGTCTAGTTATGAAGTCTTTCATGAAACTATTTCCTGCCTTTGCAAGATGTTTACAGGTGTGTGATCGCAAAATGATTTATAACGACCCTGTAGAAGGCTGAAGTGTATTAATTATCCTTGGTGTAACAAAAACATTTTAGCGTAATAACATTTGGTCCAAAATGTAATAAAATCCAAAATGCAATAACATTTTGTGCTAAATGTAATAATCATCCAATGCCATCGTTCATCTTCGCCAGTGCATTGTTTTCAAAGCAGACATTGACATTCAAATGTAAATTGACAGTTGTCGCACCATAGAATCTTCTGATTACATGTAATCAGCGTCTTTTCTTGCTAGAGACGTAAGTCGAGAAGCATTGGCCGCAAAACCTTATAGTTATGTGCGATTGGTATCAAATGACAGCTTTCAAATCAATAAGTACGCTGACCAATACCTCACCATATATCGCTGGCTTAGACTCGTAAGTGGAATAGATTCTGGGCAATTGTAATGACGTTATACTTGCGCAATCAGTGATGGAGTTAACAGCTAATAAAGCAAATCATAAACTTAAAAAAAGATGTCCGCTGACTTGTACGTCGGTCAAACTGCAAGCTCGGATATAGAGCCTTGTCTTTCCTTGCTTGAATAGCCCTTATTGGCTTGTACATTTTGTTTCCTTAGAGCGGATCCCATGACGGTACTCTAGGGAGTTATTGCTTTCAAAAATATAAACTTCCTTAACCCTTTCCCCCCCAGAAGTGATCAACATATTACTTCTCCCCATACGTCCCATACATTATTCATCAAATAGGTAAGGAGAAAACTTAAACTTATCTGATAGAAATTGTTATCGTGAGCTAACACCAAATTATCGTAACCAATTTACAAGGAAATGTGTAGCAGCTAAAGGGGAGAATTAACAATCAGATCTTGGGAGTTAAAGGGTCAAGGATGTTGAGGATGTCTTGTCGTTCTTGCGCCTAAGCATCCTATATGGCCTTTATTCTCAATTGAGAACTCTTTTGTCGGTATCCATACCTGAAGACATTTCAAGTTTCTTTTTTTTTTCTTTTTTTGTCAGATTTCTGTCTAGGTGGCTAAACTCACGTCACACAAGTGACCGAAACAGTCGCAATGTTTTTTTTGTGGAGTTATACCTGGACTATGCTATGCAACCAACGGGAATGGAAATGCGCCATTCATAAAGACATCACCGAATATAGACTATATATATATTTTCATCTTTAATTCCAAAATTTACGCTGTTGCTGTGTAAGTTAAGTTTGCACTGAGGCTGCACTCTCGTTCCCAGTTCACTTCTGCCCAAATACACTAGAACCTGGGTTAAAGTACCAACCAACAAAAGTTACATTGAGCATTTTCTTTTCATTGAGCAAGGTAGTAATGTCTTGCATCTAAATTGCATATTCTCAGGAAACAATTGAGAAACCCATTTTTTTCAGTATTATTATTTTTAAGTAAAAAAATTTCCTCGAACTAGTCCAATACTTTACGCCTCGCCATAAAAAGCAATCCAAAAGTCAAAAAGATTTACATAGCCTCAACGTCAGCAAAATAAGGAATATTATTCCAATTTCATCAAGCACAGTTTTTCCTTAGATTTGCTTCCTTTAATCCTGGCCAGCAGAAGTTAGTATCCAAAAAACTTTTGAAATTTAAAAGGAATTGAAGTTCATGTCCACGGATAACCTCGAAAAAGCTTTCACAAGTGCGGTGATTTAGCGCAAGGTCTGTTGAATTCATTTCCAGCTTCGTGGATCCATTTGTTTGATACTGCAACAAAACAAAACCGAAACAGTCTTGAAACAGCTCTGGATACTTCAGTGGCGCACGTCTACAATTTTTTGAAATATTCCTCAAATATTTTAAGTAGAAAAACCATTTTGATTTAAAGCAAGAGATGAGAGAGAGCAGAAAGAAGAAAGAAGAAACAGCTCTTATTTTAATCAAACTGGTAAAGAAAAAAGTTTACAATTAACTACAGTAATCAGCACAGGTAGTTACGATGATTATTTATGTAGAGTTACATGGAACCTTACCCCATTTCCAGCCTTTTAAGACCGGGCAGCCGGCGTGACGTGTTCGAAAATCTCCCTCGCCTGATTGCAATAAATTGTGCCAAAATACCGCGTCACCCTGTACACACAAAAAAAGGTAAAGCTGAAATGTGACGAAAAGTTTGGCAGCTAATGATAACAAAAAAACAAAAACAAAATGAAACAACCAAAAAAAGGAAAACGAGAAAGAGAGAGAGAAAAAACTGATTTGACAAAATTTATGTATCTGGGTAGGGTACAGAAGGCCAAATCCTCTTGTTGACAGATTATCGGCCGATAGCCAATCATATGTGAGCCTTTTGAGCCCAACGCGGAGATCAAACTCTCTGGCTTGATCTGCGGCGCGCTAACATCATTTTCTTTGTTTATTTACTTTCGCCCTGATTTTTTTTTCCTTTTTTTTTTATTCGCGCGACGGACTTCGCCGAAAAGGAGGGACGATCGTAATCTAAGTTCCATGCAATTGAGATTTCATGGATCACCTTAAAATTATCCAACTTTGAGCATTAGCGGAATTCTCTCATAATCAACATAAAAACTGAGCAATACTTCTTTTAATAACACGTTTTAAATTCAAAAATTTATTCGTACCTTGCTGGGCATAACCCTGGCTCCAACATAGGGGAAAACAGTTGCCCCTCCAGCCTCCACGTCGCTCATCTGAAAATGTAATTCAAGGGTAAAAGAGTTCACAGTCGATTAATAGCAAACTGTGTTTAAAACTTTTGGGCAACACTGTCATGTTAATAAACAGAGATCTATCGATAATTGTTACTTTCAACATTGGTGATTGATTATGAACAGCTCACACAAGTAAGACGGACTAGAGTTTTGTTGCCTATCAAACTAAGGAACATGACAACACATCATCAACAACAACAATACCAAAAACACCCAAATTCATTTATGACCAGGCGTTCGTTTTTCGGGGGAGAGCAAAAGTAAGACAGCGCAAAAGTCCGCTCGCTGAATCTTACGCTGCTCTGCTATCGCTCTTCTTCAAAAAAGAACAAAAAAGAACGCCTAGTCGCACGTTACAACTCAAAAAAACTCTCCAATATCTCCTGTTTTGGAAAATGTCGTTTGCCTTCCCCCAAACCGACAATTTGCTTCTTATTATCCCGCTTGAAAAGTGAATTATGCTCTAAAAACCTCTTAATTTCAATCTCTGTTAATAAAAAGTGTGTATAATAATTTACTTATTGTCGTGTTTTAAGATCCAAAAAGGTAACTTAAAAACACTTCCTTCCAATGTGCTAAACATTTTCACTATTGACGCTGGAATATTCGCCGCTGTTTCGAAAACAGCGGCGAATATTCTGGTTGTACACTCGCCGGATGGCGGGAACTACAACGCGCAGTTCAAAACCAGATACCGCTCTAGTGATCGCAAATTAAGCCAGTATTTCTATAATTTCTTATTGTTGAGGCGACTACACTTAAGAGCAAAGCGAAAAAAGCAACGCCTGGAGGCCAATTTTTTTGCACATTGAGGCAATTGTTGAAAGGTCGCTCAGGGTACTTTAGAATCTCAAAAAGGACAGGTGAAAATGAGGTGACTACTGAGAGGAAGTTTGGAATACCGGACTTTGGTTCCTTCCAAAACTAAAAACTATTTCAGTGTAATCGACAGATCTCAGCCAATGCCCTGATGTCCCTTTCTGTTCCTTCAAGTACAGTTCACTTCTTAGACTCAGGCTCATCTTAGAAAATTTGTGGAAAGTAACTGAAATATATCCAAGTGAAAATTCTGCAGAATTAAACCACTTACATAAAGAAGAACTGTTGCTATCCTGTTTCCTGTCCCAAGTTGACCCAATGTGGAATTTTTAAGATCCTGTAGAAAGCAAAAGGTATTTTAGGATTAGGCATTAGCCTTAGAGAGAGTAAATGAAACTAAAAGAGTCGAAAAAAGCGAGAGACTTCAATGCAACATTTTTACCCTTGAGAAGTCAAAGTGGGGGTCGTAATGCCCTGCTAATCCATAATTTTGCACCTGCAAAACAAAATGAGTTTGAAAACGTTCACTTTGGCGCACGAGTAGGAAAACGGGAAAAAAATATAGCTCCCGGTCTAGAGCTTATCCTGGAGTCAGAAGCATAAATTTACTCAAATGACTGCCCTTTCTCACTGCCAGGTTAATAATGTAAATCGTTCCATTTAATTTTCGCAATTATTTCCCTTGTTTCCGATTAATCTCGTACCTAGATCCTACCGCGTGACTATAACTGAAATATAGGGACCTCGCAATCGCTTGGCCATGGAAGGTCTGGCTACGAGACTAGTTATCGATATATTTGAACAAATCTTTCGTTTGCATAACATTTCTCTCTTACTTACTGCATCTTGTTGCCACTTTAGAAAAGAACCCAAATAAATGTAAAACAATTTAATTGATAGAGGCATTAAATTTACTCCTCCTAACGTAACGTACGATGTAAAATGTAAAAAACCTGGAAATCCTCGGCTGTTTGTAAGTTGAGTCCAGTCAACGCTGTCATCCGTCGGTTGACGCGGTCGATAAGCGGATCGTGTTTTCCGTTTAACCAGCAACTGGAAATGATATCAATTTAAAGGTGAGAATGAAATACCAAACTCGACTAACAGATGAAAACAACGACTTACACCCAGCATAAGATGCTTTTAAGACGTTTATAAGACAAGAAATGAACAGAAGGTATTTTTTTTCCGATTGATCGAAACTGAATAACAGCGACTAACGAACCGTACCCAATACGATAATGCAAAACGGACCACTCAGTTTCCAACTACCAGGCTTTACTCATCTCTTGATGCAAATAATCATTCTTTTTATATCAGATCTTGCTTAAAGCTACTAATACAATAGTGTGTCACCCCCGACTCCACGCAAAAACTCGCATTAGGAGAATGGAATCAAATTCGATAACAGGGTTTTGTTGACCGACTTAAATTGACTAGAGGGCGAATTCTTAAAAATGTCGACCGCACCATCAAAGATCGACAAAAAGTATTTTATTATTTGACATTTACAGTTACCGTATGTTTAAAAATGGTATTCCCTTGTGGAAATGTACCCAACATGATTGTGGAAGACAGAAATGTAAGAACAATGTATCATAGAGGATACCTACTTTTTGCTTATCCTGTAATGAGCATACTCTAATTTCCCCGTTATTGGATTATGAACAGTCGCCCTGTTTAACTGAGGAGCATAGAAAAAATGATTAGCAAAAGAAAGATGAAAAAAAAGTGCATCGCTTTCCTAAATTGCCCCTGAAATGAAAAACATTTAGTTTTTGAGTTTTGCGTGCCTAGCAGATTTAGTGTGCCGGCAGTAATTTTTCACTGTTCGTAGTAATTTGCCAGCTTTTACACAAAAAATTTGTTAGGTTTACACTCTGACAGTTTTAACTTTGACATCAATGTATCTCCCGATCCGTTCTGAAAGGAACTTGAATGGGACATGCAATTTGAATGAGCAATTAGATAAACAAGTGAGCAAACACAAATAGTTTTTGTCATGAAAATGATTTTGAAATTGGAAAAAAAATGGAACTATTGCCATGACTAATTCGTACTCGAGTGAGAGTAAGGACGATCTTTTTGTCTTTTGTTCATCTCTCTCTCTTTTTTTTTTATTATTTCAGGGTCATTTTAAATTCCAAAATAATATACTACCAGATTTACGAAAAGTTCTGATCACTGTCATGTCATTAGGGCTAAATAAAGCGACAACACAGACAAAAGTAGAGAAACAAAAGTCGATTGACAATAGAAGACAATTGCACGTACTATTCTTACCAAAGGTTTTGATATTGTTATGACTTTATCTATTTCAGCATTGCTCATGATCTGATGAAAAATCATGATGTCTGGGTTGGTGAAGACAACCTCGATAGGACACCTTTTGATAGTGCAGAGTGGATGTCCTGTCTTGTAATAGCATCTGAGTCTCTCCGGGCTTTGAGGGGCCTGGCAAAAAGGAGACACTGAATGTGAGTAAAAATGCTGTAAAACAATATATTTCGCCCAGCAGACCTAACAATTTACCACGTTACTTGTTCTACTTACACACATCATGGCGTGGGACAGTAGTGATCCTAAAATAAAACAGGGCGTTTCCCGCACATTTATCCTTTCACTCCCAAAATCGTTTTAGCGATTCTCCTTACTGTCAGCGATACAATTTTTATGATCTTCAGTCAGATGATTTGGTATTGGATCAACTAAAAAATCCGAATTGTTAATTTTCTTAATTCTCTTCACTTGTCCGATTGATATTGTAAGGAGAAATACTGTCTGTGTCACTCTCGTCTGTCAAAGTACTAATGATGATTCTAATAATGGCCTAGCGAGCCAAAGTCCTGTAGTTCAGTACCAGATTATTGGATCACGAAAATCGAAGGTATTCGGTTAAAAGTTCCTCTTGGGGACTCAGGTTTTTTTTATTTTTTTGGTCCCAATGCTCATAAGAAACGACTCGTAATTTTGTATAAACGGTCTATAAATGTAAATTAATGACGACTGAAGTTTTGATATCGATGAATTTCCAATTCAAGGAATTATAGAATGAGACATACAGAGCGACATTAAAATCGGTCGAGACCTTCCACAAAGCTGCCTCGTAACTCTTGAATTTTTTACATAAGTCACTCACAGTCAAAGTCAATCTCCGCAATCTTTGATCATTCTGCCTTCCTCATTTCTTTTAACTTTATTTTACCATTCTACTTAAACGGAATCCTCCTCCAAACCAAGGACGCAGCCCATGAACTTTTTTTGGCCATTAACTTTTCACCTACCACTTAAACTTTTAGTGCATTGTAATTTTCCTATTACTTACACGTGGCATTGGATCTCCTCGACACAATTTCTTGAAAATACGTCTTTCCTCAAACCAGTCAAAGTTCTTCAGTGTCGACTGAGGAATCTTCCTGGCCAGATAACTGAATTTCCGTTCCTGTTCTTGAGGTTTCTGAGATTGGTCTCCGCTTTTGAGCTTTTGATATTCTTTAAAAGTGCCAAGATTTATCGTTGATCGCTCGTGATTGGGCACTGAAATAGGAGTTAACGCTTAACGTTATTTTCATGACGATGACCTAGATAACTGGAACATTCTCATTTATCGATTCACTTATTTTACTTTAAAGAGCCATGAATGATAACTGATAAAAAAACATTACGCGAAGAAATTCACTTTTCGGATGACAACTATAAAATCTTACAGTTTTCTGCGTGGGTTTGTCGGACGCAGATTCAAGCAAGCAGTCTGAAACGCGGGAAAACACTTATAACCCATTGGAGCTGTGATTTGTTGAGGAGGTGGCTCGAGTTTTTTCTAGACAAATCAGAGAACGAAGAAAAGCAAAAATAATTCAATCCCAGGTTACTTGGGTACAATTACTTACCGACTTTAAGAGCCTCTATGGTGTAATTTATCGCACTTCTCACATCCCCAAGCTGTAAGAAGAAAATTATTTCAAATATGGATCGTAAACCGCCTTATTCGTACTTGATTTGGCGATTTCTTTAATATAAAAATGGGGCATTAAATTTCGCGATTTAAGCGTTCTCCACTTCATTTTTTTTTCCTAAGAAATCTGAACTTTTTTTAAAATTCCAAGAAAAACAGGAACAAGTGTTGCAAAGTTATCAGAAACTTGTGGAATCAAAACAAGGAATCATTTAACGGCAATTTAAGGACTGCGCAAAAGATACTCTGAGGAATTTTGTATGAGTCTACCAATTCAGATGAAGACAAGACTGTTAATTTTAACATTACAAAAGATGCAGAGAGGAGCTTATCTGTAAAACTAGTCACTTATTTGTGTATCAGTCGATACATATCCTGCATTTGTTGTTGTTATACATGGTAATCATTTTTCCTCTGATTTGAATCGAAGGTCTGTAATATATGCAAGTATTAATTCTATGTGGGTTAAATAAATAAATAAATATATATATATATATATATATATATTATATAAGTTTATATTATATAAGTTTATATTATATAAGTTTATATTATATAAGTTTATATCATATAAGTGAAAGAATCAAAGAGGACGCATCGATTCTCTGTTACTCTGAGTTTCGCGCCTAAGCGCTCGTCAGACAGAACGTTTCTGACAAGCGCTTGGGCGCGAAACTCAGAGTAACAGAGAATCGATGCGTCCTCTTTGATTCTTTCACTTATATATACTCAGCTCTGCTACCACAGCATTGAGCACTTTATGCCAAGGTAGACTCTACCCCCACATTTATATATTATATTATATATATGGGTATTAGTTCTATAAAGGTGTTCAATTTCATTTTTTAAATTCCACGAGCATTTTTATTCTTAGGTCTTTAATTTCGCGATTTTTCAACAATTGCGAAATTAAGTACAAACACCGTTACAAGTACATTAGCAGGCTGATATATGAGAGCAAGGGGCATAGCTAGGTGGGAAAGGGAGGGGGAGGGGGTCCTGAGGTGCCCGTGGTCCCCCCCTTTTATTTTTGGTACATTATTTAAAACACGGCGTGGAGGTGGACATAGTTACCTTATAAGAGGACCAGGCCAGATGATCCAGCACGGAGAATCGACTTGGTTTTTCTTTCGAGTTATTAGGTTCCAGGTCCAATATTTGTAACGATTCACCCATCCACTGCCGAGTGTTTTCCATATCTTCCGACAAAAATGCTCCGCGACCAATTTTAAATGCGTCCATGGCAGTTATCATCGAGCCTGATTCAGTCGCTAAACCGTATTTACCTCTGGTAAAGTCTTGTGCTTTAAGGTTGTAGACATCTTGCAGACGTTTAATAGCGGCCATGGCGCCCTCCAAATCATCTTGTCCAGGAAAGTGTTCGCGATAGCCTTCCAACTTGTCTATGAGTAAACCTTGACGATAATATAGAGAGATTCAGCTTGCAAACAATTCACGTCAATTATTATTCATTATTAACTCCAGATATTGCATTTCTCAGTGTTCCGATTGGTTCACTCAACTCCAGTTATCAGCATCTTATATTGAAATGCATTGCGATGTGTTGAAAGCTGAAATTTTTTCTGAAAGCATTCAAAGTTTTAGCATTTAATGAAATTGAAAAAAAAAATTCATTCGCGCTCGTTGGATACGAGACTGATTAGAGCCAACTCGGCGCTACTCGCCTCGCTCGCTATTTATAATATTCTCTTATACAACATGCTCACAAGGATTGGAAAAATTGTTAATCATTCTTCTCTCAGAAAAACAGTTTTATGTAGAAACAAAACACAGAATGCACGAAAAGAAAGTAAAAGAAATAAAAAAAGCTGAGAATTTTGATTTGAGAGATATAACAACAAATGCGCGAGCGAAGGCTATCAGTCAAACAAAAAAGAAAAAAAATTCAATATTCCCCGGATTCACAAATTCGGTGCTTTGGTGGTATGTCAAATAAGCCACACATATTATGATTAATGTACCATAAACGAAAACTGATGTCTTGAATAAATAGTCTCACTTTTATTTACTTTTTTTCCTTATTGGTGACATTGGTTAAGGCAAAAATAATGCATGTTTCTTCACGTGGTTTTATTTAAAATCACAAGATGAAATTTTTTCATAAGTGCGTTTATTCTCATCAAAATAAAGAATTATTATTTTGGTTTAAAACTGTTATTGGTAACACAGGCGTTATGTATTTACTGAGCCTTAACAAGTCTCCAAGGCAAGGTGTCTAAAAGCCACTTAATAGAACTTAGATTAATGATTTTTCGCGAAGAATAACGACAATTTATCCTCATTTAATAACACTTTCTGCATTAAAAAGTGTCCGGACTTAAGGCATTTAGGCACTAATAGACGGCCGTAATTTCTAACTGTGATCAGTTTAAGACATTGAACTTGTAAGATCTTTTCACCCATAAAATCAGCATGAACGTGAAGCTTACAAATTTGTAACGAACCTATTTTCATCAAATACAATTAAAAGCCTTTTCACCTTAATTGTTTAATTTTGTCAGTATGATTACAAAAGATATTTTCAAAAACATAAACATGACACCGGAAAGGTCATTTGCATCACAGACCTACGAGAGCATACAACAAGTTCCTTTAAAATAGCGTTTAAATTTTATCGATGGTAACCTAAGGTGTGAATGGATTGAGGGACATAAAGTGAACCAATAATCTAGTCAAAGATAAAGCCGTTTCAATAGTACTTTTCGCGACTAAGCGTTGACGAAAAAAAAGGGGAAAAAAATGAGAAAGACTGCAAAATTCCGTAAGGATGACCCCTGAGACATTTCTGTCAACGACTATCACCGTTCTATCCGAGTATTACGGTTTTCAAAGTCCATTCACATTATATATTGTGGATAAATTTCTTTCTATCACCTTTTTGAATTGGGAGTAAATGCGAGCGATGACTAGGTGACTAGATATAACGGGTTCATTGAGCTGCGAAATATCGCACGCTCTCGATTGCCGAGTTTTGCAACAGTGATAGAAAACAGCGGTCTTCACGGGTATTCTTTCAACGCCTTCACGGAAGCCACTTCGATCGCTAGGTTGAACTGTGTCTTCTCAGTTTTTTTTTCTTACGCTTATCAGCACTACTGCGGTGTAACTGACCGTACAAAAGTTTTATTTTTGATGAATTAACTGGTTTACCTTCAGCGTCTCCCTCCTCTTGAATCGCCTTTACGTGTGGCCTCCACTCATTCACGAGCCGTTTGATCATTAAATACGTATTCATTGGATGTCCGATGTAAGCCTCTCTATTGTGCTTCGCTTGATCCATCGCCAACTTCAGATCTTGGAAGAAAGATCGCAATTTGTTCAGCCGTGATTCTTGTTCGATGAGATATTCTTCTAGCGTGTCAGTGAGTTCCATCTCTATATTTACCAACCGCTCCACATGAGACAGCGCCGTGAATATCTCCGACTGAACAAATGTACTTGATGTTATAAAATAAAAAAGCGCGGTGAAAAGCAAATGTTTCGCTGCCATAATGTATCCGAAACGTAGCGGCAGCTAATCGACGAATAAATACATCGATAGAATAGTGAATGGGCATTTGTGTATTCGCAACAGCAAATCACGCATGCTCGAGACGACCAAGAGGGGTCGAGAAACTGATCGCGGATTTCCATGTTATTTCCAATCTCAAATCCATACTTTTGATCCACCGAATATTTTCCCTTCTTTCTTTCTTTTCTATGAACAGAATTTCAGCGAAAACATGTAAGTCCACATTTCAAAACGAATGAAAACCAAATATATTCGGTAACGCATTCTTCTCAGTCAAGGTACCTGTCTACCAGTGAAAGTCGCTTTGTTAATAATTAAGGACTGAGGTGTGACAAAGACCAGTAATGTGATCCGTACGTGCCAAACTTCATGCGTTGTGCTCTGTACGATTAGAGATGAAACTGTTCTTAACAGATGCAGACGATAGGAAGCTCTTTCTGCAGAACACAAAGAGCTGTGGATGCGCATTGAGGATCTCAGATTGCGCGACTTACTGGTGAATTTCACTTTCATTTCTTTTTTGTCTCGTCACGCATCGAAAACTAAAGTGAGAAAACCAACGTAAAAAAAGCGTAGGATGCCGAAAACCCAGAATTTCCTGGGTAGTATCTCACTGACAAATAAAAAATGTCCCTGATTATGTGCGCTTTTACGATCTTAAGCTATAAGCCGAAAATGTTACCAGACATCCATTGAGGTAAGGATTGATAACCCACGGTCTGCTTATACACAAAGCAGGCGACTTTATCAGATGGATCGAATGGCATCATGAAGTTACAAACATTCACCGAACCGTTACATTTTGTTTGGGTCAGCTCCCTCGTCAGAAAATCTACTCTCTCCCGAGTCTTGCCCTGTTGTAAAATCCCAAGTTGATAGCAAATGTTTCACGAGGAATAACAAGGTACTAACAACTGAGTTGATGACGAAAATTTGCCACCGTAAAGAGTTTCAAAGCTTTTTCTTTGTATCTATAAAAATATTTTTTCTTGACGCTTCAAGCGTTAGCCCTTCGTCAGAGCGAATGAAGGAATTGTGGGTTGTGTGTGTGTTTACATGCAGAAAATGGAGCTACGCTATTGGTGGGAACATGAGGAGAAAACACGAGTAAATAGGTTGAATGAAAAGCGCTCGTTGATACTGTGGGGATTAGGAGCGCCCATTTGAAAAATTAATTTTTTTTCTAGACTTTTGCGGCTTTCCGAACTGCCTAGATGTAGGGAGAGGTCGCAAACTGCCATATGCTGCTTATAATGATTTGGGAAATTCAAGTGTCTGGCAACTGGTTTGGATGCTTCCTTGTCATTTCTTTCTACGTCGCGAAGGTGTTCTCTGAATCGGTCACCAAATCGTCTTCCTGTTTATAACTTTTTGCAATAAATGCAAGTTATATACAATAGTTGACATTGGCGAAGGTGCACGTGAAGTGTTCAGTGATCTTAATGGATCTCTTGGGTCCCGAAATTTTCTCTACGCTGTGAGGATTTTGCATCGTGAGCGAGTGCATTTGAAAGTTCCAGGTTAGTCACTGGTTTGAAATGAACTTCTGACCAAGAAGTTCCCTTGTTTTAACCGCCTTTGAATTAAATTAGTGTAGGTTGCGAAAAGATAGTACCAGTCTCTGAATCGCAATTTATAGTTTCTAAGAATTGATTCAACTGCGTGGTTGTGAGGGTGAAATGTAAGAGTGAATGGAATGCGATCGGTATTTTCCTTTTGAGGCGTTTGTAGTGCTGACTGTCGATCAATTCGGTTGGGCGCGGTGGTGGCCCACTTGAACGACGGAAACAGTATAGCCACTCTTTACAATGGCCAATTTACGTTATCAACTCAGTTGATAGTACTAAATTACCCTGTTATACTCTCCCATCGACGCGGAATTACAGTTTCTTTAGAAGCTTACCCTCTTTTGATTTCTTGGAGTGTTGTTACAATACAAAACAGGTTATTTCCGGAGGAAAGCCTTAGCCAACAATCGGAAAATTCGGTGTACCGAATAAATTGGGGGTCAAGCACAGAAAAAAAATGCAACAGCCGTTACCTTGACAATCACAACCGCCATTTGTCGCTCGCTCGCTCTTCCGCTCGCTTGAAGAGACTGAGGTACTTGAACGGGTCACCCGGTTATCAGTACTTCTCCGGAAGAGTTCTCTGACAGCCAGCAGCAGCTATTTTGTTTAACTTCCCTTTTTCATTCTTTTGTAGCTCTTGTTGATTCTTAAACCTCATCTCACTTGTCATTTGATATCTCCTATATCTGTGAGCCGAATTTCATTAAGTTCACAGCAAATATATCTCCAAGATGAAGTGGATAGTTGTCCAGATAAAATCGTCTTGATAAAAATTTAAAACAAAAACCAAGAAGGGGGTGGCATCTACCCACTCTTCCCCCTTGTACGTCCAATGGTTTAACCTCTAAACCCTAAGAGTCACGGTGTCCAACACCTAATTTCTACCCACAATATCACCTAATTTCTACCCTTAGTCACACATTAAGGCCATTGGGTCGTTGTTGTCAAGGAAACGCCTATACCTGTGAGCAGAAAAATTATGTTACCTGCAACTTGTTTCGCAATGATTGTTTGATGCCATTTTACTCTAGGACCCCCTGGTGGAGGAAATGACTAGTGGGTGTTTTTGTATTGTTTTACTTGGCCTAGCTTGAGTATCATAATCAATATTCCTATCATGGCGTGCTTGACTTTTCTCCTCGTGTATTCTCAAGGCTTCCTTTAAATTTTATCAATGTTTTCAAGTAGTTAACAAGCGCATATGAAAAAGTAAAACGACCCAGCTAAAAATTCATCGTCCCATTCGACTTCCACCTCGAAGATTGATCAGTGGCGAAGATCTTCATACAAACCCATTTTTGCTCGCTCTATGTATTCCCTAAAAAATCTCGATGAATCCGAACTGAGATTTTTGTAAATTGAGTATCTTACTTTCTATTGACATATGCGGCTAGTCATTCAACAAGCTTTGAAAACCGGTTTCCAAAGTTCAATCAGCTATGCAACCTCTCGCATGGAACGATTGTCATCTCGCAGGAAACGTTTAGGTTCTCAGGAGGCGAGGGAAATTTTTGTCTTTGAGCTAGAGAAGATCAAAAAAATGAAAAGAAATGATATTTTTGTTTTCCCTACCGCCTGTAAAAAATAAATATTTTTATGTAAATAAGTCAAAATCAATTAGCTGAAATTCAAAATGTTTTATTTACTAAACTTCGAGAGTTTTCCTAATACCCGCCTGGCTGGTTGGATCACCTATTGTGACGCTTTAAATTACACCTGAGTATATATTTTCCTCTTGCACGTTTAACCGAAATAAAAGCCTAAATTCTTGCAGAAGAAATCCTTTCGACTGGTCAAATTCACTGCCAATTTGAAATTTCCCACAGCTGACCTAAAATCATGATAAATTGGTCGAAATTGTCCGAAAATTATTGTCAGAAAAATAATGATAAAAACTGAATAGCGATTGTCTAACTAAGAATTTAAGCAGTCATGCCTGGAGCGACAGCAGATTAAAACCATATCACTAAGAAATAGATTGAATTACTCTTCCTTTGGCAAATTCCCCTCGCTCCTGGCTAGACTTCATTAGCTTTTTTTGTGTGCGTCGTAGCGTGCAAAGCGCAAAATTACAAATGGAAATTTAACAGCACTCTTATTACTTATTTACTAAGTCTTCTTCGAGATATAAATAGACTGGAGGCAATTAAAATTTTGTCGAAAATTCGAGCAGTTACTAGCTTTCGAGAATTAGTTGTCATATGTTAAGTCGATAGTATTCCATTTTTGATGCTGTGGTAAATATTTGCATTTTTATACCGGAATTGACAACTGAGACATCACACAGGTAAATATGAGTTTTAAGGTTATTTCAATAGAATTTTCACATAGTTTTAGATTCGTATGCGTCATGTGTATAAGTCAGTTTTCTGTTTACCAACAACTTTTCGGATGGAAAAAGCATTCCACTGATAAGTCACCTTTTTACCTATTTTGTGTCGTTCAGGAAATGAGGCAAATATGCTGAAATTGCATCAATCTACAAACTAATATGTATCTCTGGGAATGTCTGCTCGGGGCAGTAGTAATGTTTGCTATCAGATATAGCTTAAACGAACAAAGAATGATGAGTGTACTTTTTTCAAGCAACAAAGGCTGTGTCATTATAATTCAACTTCCAAAACTTGCATAGAATGGGACGCATTCTTGTTGGAACAATTTCAAATTATTAAGATTCGTGCCTGTGTTTACTATATTTGATGATTTTATGAACTGTGTTTCGGCTTCTTGATTTTACCGGCCAGTTGATTCTCGTTCTTATTTATTTGAGCCGAGAGCCCTTTAAGATGTCCCGCAAGGAAAAAAATTATTGTCGCTACTTCATTTATGGAAGAAATGAGAATTTGCCATCAACGTCAACAATCATTGAATTTTCGCTTGGCTGCTTTTTGCTGTTCTATATTTTGTACAATCAACTTTTTGCGTATCTTAATAGAGATCTAAAAAATTATTTTCTTTTCTGTGCTAGTTTTATTTTAAGAAATGTTTCCCAATCATAAATTGCAGGGGTTTTCCAGCGCTCACCCACGTCTCCTAAGTCCGACGACTCATTGCTGGCTGCTAACTGCCTAAGATATACTTCGGGGGCAAGATGGAATCTTTTTTTCGAGAAGCATAATACACACTTCAAACTAAAAAAACAAACAAACAAAAAGAAGAAGCTAAAAAACACAAAGATCTTGTTTTCCTTATTCGAGAATCAATAATAGCCATGAATAATAGTCACTAACTGAAGTCAGCTTATCGATAGTATGAAAAACAAACTGATTGCAGTGTATCTGATTGATGATTATTAATATGAATTTAAAATCAGACTAAGCCCCAATAATGAAACAGTTCTTTAAGTTCAGTGTGTCCAACATTCAAATTAGATTCTCGAAAGGCGACAGCGTTCTGTCGAAAGTTTTTTGTTATGGAAATTCTTCCAAACTGAAAGAACGGTTTTACAAGTAATCAATTTGAACAGCGGGACCGCTCATTTTACAGAGGAGGAATATCAACAGCTCCGTAGGGAAAATTTCCAAAATTTTAAACTTATTTACGCAAATTGTTAAAAGTAATCATTTTTAGCCGTAGGACTGCTAAATGCAGATGAATAAACAAAGACTTGAAATTTATGTGTCAAAGCAAGACCTGCCGACATCGAATCGAACTTTGAAGGAAGCCTTGCGTACAGAAAACAAAAACAAAAACGCGCAGAGATAAATAAACAAGAGTAGGCCACAAAAAAGCTATTTAGCGTATCCAAACACTTCGTTAAACTGAACAGGTCAAAATAGAGTACTTAAGTGTTATAAACTGAGTTGATAACGTAAATTGACCACAGCAAAGAGCTGACTTTTCGAGCGATAGCCCTTCGTCAGAGCGATTGGAGGAATTGTGGGTAGTGTGGGTTTATATAGGGGAAATGAAGCTACGCTATTGGTGGGAATATGGTGACTAGAAAACAAGAATAACTTGGTAGAGAAAGCGTGGGACGAAGAAAAAGTTCTGAGTCCCCATGAGGAATCGGACTTCAGACATTCGGATTCCGCGCTCCGATACTCTACCCCTGAGCCATAGAGACTCTATGGTGAGCGAGGTCTATTACGAACTTCATATGACACGCGTCCTGCGTACTGCTAGGATCAGCGATGTCGATAGCGTCATGTTTTAAAATAGAATAGAAATATGGTAAGTTTGGAGCTCGGTAAAGAAATAGAGAAATAAATTAGTTAAATGAAAAGCGCTCGTTGATACCGTGGGGATTTAGAGAGCCTATTTGAAAGATAAATTTTTGTTCCAGAGATTTGCGGCGACTTGCGAACTGCCTAAGTGTGAGGAAAAGCTGAAAACTGCCACATAGTGATTAGAATGATTAGGGCGATCAAATTGTCTAGCGAATGGTTTGTATGTATCCCTATCATTTCTTTCTACGTCGCAAAGGTGTTGTCGAAATCGGTTGACGAGGTGACCTATTCCAAGAGCACCTTTGTGTGAGCCAAAAGGCGCAAATCAAAACAAACAGCTGCTACTCTTTGTATCTCCAAACAAGTACTATTTGAATCATTGAATCAAGGAGGCCTTTAGTGAAGCCCCCAGGTAGTTGTTTAAAAGGGTTTCGAAGAAATGTGCAAATGAGGAGCGAGTCTTTGTTAGGTAGGGTTGCCCAGCAATGTACAAAATGGCGAACACCGTCGCTGAGTTTTCAAAAAGTTACTGTAGGTTACTCCAAGATAATATTATATAATCTTTGGGTTACGTTTTGTCTTACTGCGGTTGGTGGTCACCTTTTTTCTTTACCTTTTTTTTTTTCAATAGCAGAGACATTATGTGGCTCCCAAGGCATAATTCTCCCTCGATTGCATTGAAAACACGTTATTCTTTGACAAACTGGCAGAAACCATTGTAAAAATCGAGAAATACGATTAATCTTTTGTTTGAATTTTAACCCTTTTAAAACTCGGAACCCTATGTCTACGCTGCATAGAATTTTGCCAAGCATTTTGAAATATTTATAATTTCAACCTCCAACATTACAATTGTCATTTTTTATCTCATCATAACTATTATTATTATTATTATCATCATTATTTAATGAATATATTTTTTGGGAAATTCAAATTTGTACTTGACGCACACGTAATGATAATTGACTTTTAAGGCGTGAATTCTTGTCTTTAAATCCTCATATTTAAAGAGTTTTGAAAGTGTAGAACGAACTTAAATGCCATAGCTTCAATACTGTAGCGGTAGTTTCGACTGATTTCATGATGCTTCGTATTTCCTTTGCAGAAACCGGTGCTCATGGTTTAGAAATAACATTTTAAAAACTAGGACAATAAACCAAGCGGCCCAGGTCGATGCAAATGAAATTGAACTGCGGAACAATACAATAGAAAGTATTAGCTAAGGTAAATCTTTCTTTTCTTTTCTCCCTTAAGTTGATGAGTTACATTTCAATAGCAGTTATAGGGTTTTTTAGAAGCGTTGACCTTAAGAATTGTCCATAGACAAAAATTTCCTTTGCAAATACTAACTTATTTAGCCGATGTCCACTAGATTTCCAGCCGTGTATAAAAGTGCGTCACTCTCTTTTTTTCCGGAACGTGACTTCTCTATCACCTATCAACTGTCGGCTGAAGTTGCATTGTTAAGGTTAGGAAGTTCATGATGTGGAAATGATAATTTGACAGAAATTTGCATCAAAATTTGTAACGCGTAATGACCTGGTTTTTTTTTGTTTTTTTTTTTTTTGCGACGGTTTTCCATTTGTAATATTTATATAAATGCACTTGCATATATACACTTTGGCGGTCTTAAGATTGTTAAGTCTACAACTTCTTGTTTTATTGTGTTCACCCATTGGTTTTAAAACATCTTTTGATAACTATTTACGTTAAGATGAATGAGTGTTTGGCGAGAAAGCTTTTAAAGATGTTTTTTTTGGCATCTTGGAAACATGATACTGGATTGAAAAAACAATAGACAAGACTAGACATAACAATTCAGTATATAGTACTCTCCCACCCTATTTACGGTTTAAACTTGGTTATCTTGCATTACCATTTTAAAGATAATTCTTTCCCTCACGTTTCTTTGTTCCTTAGCACTGATCGTCCCTTGTTTGTAAATTGGGACTGCAGACTGTCTTCAAAATTGTCCTGTACCATCAATCTACAAAGGAGCTGTCGCTTTCAATAGACAAGGATGATTCTTCTAACAGGTTTGCAATTTTATACGTACAGCCTTAATCGTCTAACTTTCCGTAAAGTGAGCCTCACCACGAAAATTTTCGAATCTATCCATTAGTCATGTTTAAAAGGATTTAGGTTACAATTCTTCGCCGCACTTTAAAGAAAAGAAAAAATAAGAAAACCAATTATATTTTGGATAAAGAAATTTAACTTAAGATCCGTATAGCTGTGTTCTTTCACTCACTAAGATTACGGGAACATTTGTGAACGGGAGTAAATCTTGCTAAAATTTTTAAAACCTAATTTGTTTAGATATATGAATATACCCAGGAGCCCCTTTATCTTGAAAATTATTGTGGTTTTCACCAGCAACTGAATTACATCTTGATCCGTGAGCTTTCACTTTGTGTTTACCACAAGTCGTGACCAGTAGGATATTTTTTGTAATTGTGTTTTTCCTTTAAATTATTGTTCCGTTTGACAATAGGTACTGCGGAGGTTGTGTTTTGGTGACCATGAGGAGAAATCTTATTTTACTTTGTGAAATTTATTCAACGTCGAAGAAACATATTTTAAGTGCAAAATAAACTTAAGATGCAGACTTAGTTTTAAGGTTAAGAGGAGTTGGCCTGCAGTGATATTGCTTTTCTATTTCTACCCTGAGGGTTATCTAATGAATATTACGGAGGACTGGATATAAGCGATAAGCGATGGCTTAAACCACGATATTTACAGACTAATACCGGGTTCCGAAAAAAGCTCATAACGCTTCTTCTTTTGTAGCTTTTGCGCAAAACATGCGTCGATGGTAACGTTCAATGCAAACGCAGTTGGTGGTCATTGTCTACCACTGAACCTGTCATTTTCCATTAAATATCATTTCCATTAACATCCGCCATAAGGAAAATCGAGTGAATTGCAAATCGTTCAATTCATACATCTCCTTCTTCCTTGATTGCAAGAGTGTAAAAGGGTAGTCACGCGAGCCGGTCCTTTTTTTTTGTCTTCCCGCGCTTAGCTCATGTACACCGCACTTTGATAGCTAAATTAGCACAATATTTCCTGAGATTTATATCAGGCACCAGATGTTGGAGGGAAAATAACATTTCTTCAACTCAAAATTTATTTATTTAAGAGATAAACAGCAAGGTTCGTAAATGTCTAAAACATTACCAGCTTTCCAAATTCATTTAAACTGAATACACAGATTTTACCTAAATTTGTGTCAATTTGTCCCTACGAATACTAATACATTCTAAAGGCCGCCTCGCGAAAGAAAACAAAACACAAAATTATTTTCCATTAGCAAAACCTCAATTAGGAAAATGCAACGGTGGAAAATGTTGATATTGACGAAGAAAAGAAGGAAGTACCTCCACAATAATTTCTTTTTTAAAACCAAAATATTGACAAATAATACACAATTTTGACTCAGTCATAATAGGTGAAATTATTTATGGACACGTACGTCCTTTGACTTTTACTTGTGATTGAAATTATTCTTAATGACTGTACAAATAGTTGATAATAAGGGCAGAGTTTTTAATTCGTCTTTTCGAAAACCACGAACGCTCTAGTTGGACCAGTGGTTAATTACACGAAAAAGAGTTCATAGCTTCATTTTGGTGCTCAATATTGGAGTCAGTGCAGCGATATTAACTTTTGAGGTTCCGGAAGGTTCTCGCGGGGATTTCAATTGTTTACGCCATTTAAAATGAGTGTAATTTAATTATTCGTTTCTTACTTTTCAAAATCTAAAGTTCCGTTCTAAATTCACCCTGCATCACACACATTTTAGAAACGGCACTTTCTTGGTTTTTCTGATGCAATAGTGTCTCTCCCACAGGTGAGTTAACTCTTCATATTATCGGAATTTTTATGCGGTTTGCGAGTAAATAATTGTGATAGGATGCAAATCCTACAGTCGTGAAGAGTCGTCGCAATGTGCAATAAAAACCAAAAGGCGGGACTATGACACATGAACTTTATGGGCGTTTGGAAAGCAGATTTTATTTCCATAAAAAACTAGTATGAATATCAAAATTTTTTTCGAAATAGAAAGATATTTCAATATTAAGATTAAATTTGATTGAACGGTATGCTGTAGGATTGATTTCATAAATAAGGCAGAAATTAGCTCTACCTACGGCTAAAATAGTAAGAAATTTTGTTTGAATGGTTCAATTAGAGAGAGGACCTTCTACCTTAGATAATACAACTATGAAAAACTCCCAAATGTGGGATCCAAAAGAAGGGAAACAATAGTATGAAACTAATTTTTTGCTTTGAGGTATGTTTAACACATAATGAAAATAGTTGAGAAAGCTAAGAATGAGAGTCATTGCAAATGTGTTCCTTGTCTTGTATTTGATCCATCTTATTTCATTGTTTTTCTAGTTTTACGTGATTTTCCGAGAATAAATCGGCGTTTTGCTGGCTATTCTAGATAAATGCAAAAAGGGATAAGTTTCTAAAGAAATTGCGGTGTTGCGTCGGCGGGGAGTGTTACAAGACAATTCAGTTTGATCAAATGACTTGATAATATATATTTGCCACCGTAAGAGTTCTAAAACTAACTTTTCGACCGTTAGCCCTTCGTCAGCCAAGACAAATGACAAAGAGCTAACGCTCGAAACATGAGCCTTAGAAATTCTTAACGGTGGCCAATTTCCATTACCAACTCAGTTGATAAAACCAAATTATGTTAATCTAAATTCGTTTTTTCTAGCAATAAAGTTTCCATGTCCATAATCAAAGCAAACAAACTAAAAACTCAGTTTCGAGGAAGATTGATTGAAATTAAATAGAAAGTAAATTACAGTGTATTTAATGCAGTTGTCATATCTTAACGAGTGACCATGGATGAACAACACTTCGTTTTATTTACCTCTTATTCCCGTACAAGTCCACAAAGGCTAAGTTTGTCAAGACGGCTATTTCTGAGTTATTCAAACCTTGTAATATACCTTGATAATTCGGTTTGATCAAATGAGCTTATGATGTAAATTGGCCGTAGTAAAAAGTTTACAAAGTTTAAGTTTCGAACGTTAGCCTGTAATAAGAGCGAAGAGTTGACACTCTTTATGGTAGCCAATTTACATTATCAATCCGTCTGATAAAGCCAAATTATTTTGTTAGCCCCCCATCGACGCAGCACTATTGTTTCTTTAGAAATTTGACCCCTTTATTCACTTGTTATCATTATCTCTTGCTTTTTATACATTTGCCTTTCGCAAAACTGATAGTATTTTCTTTTGGTTCATTTTTCGATAGGTCGGTCTCATTGATAAAATCGTGTAAGGATTCGGAAATAATTCTGTTCCCTCCCGCTGTATTAGGGCGGCTTTTTTTAGGTTGTATTTGTACTTTCTTCCTTTTCAAGCGTAATTACTTTAAAATAAGAACATACACCACTCGCAGCCGAGGAACTCCATCCAATCATAACTGAGCACAATAGCATTTATGTGTCGACCTCATCGCCTGAAGAAGACTAGCAATATGCAATCGAAACGTCGCGATCCACAAACGAAGGGACTGCATCGTGAGACAAACGATGATATTTCTCTTTTGAAATTATTTCAAATTACTAGTCAATTTTGCTTGTAAGGTGAATCCTCTAGTTCACAAAAATCTACTGAAAGCGCATCAAAATTGAAGCGTTGCAAATCATATCGTCGAATTTTTGGTATGATAATGTTGTGTGACAGTCTTGTTTAATAACTTTGTCTTTTCCTTGTTTGCTCAATTTTGGTTTAGTGAAGCTTCTTGCTGCTAACATAATCAAATGCTGATTATTTAACCTGTTTGAATTTCACTGCTGTCGTGCATTTAACCCTGTCTTTCCTCATTTAATTTTTTATTCATTTAGTTAATTAAATATTTTGTGGAAAAGATTAAATAACCCAGCTCTCTTGCAAGTATCTCGATTTGTGATGATAATAGGACCAAGTGGAATCCGATCATTTCAGTCTATACTGATCATTTCAGTGACTAGCAGAGTCAGAGTACTGCGTTTAAGCTTTTTCATGCCTAAGAGCATTGCATTGGACCATTTTCGGTTAGAAAATGAACTTAAAAAGCAGCTCATGTAAATGATATTCTATCACATGACATGTAAACTGTCCTATAAGTCGTCCTACTACAAGCATGACGTGTACATTGCCCCAGTTGCTGTTCATATCACGCTGCTGATGACTACTCGCGTTCGAAAATAAATAGTTTTGATTCTAATATTTGACTTAAACCTCTAAATTGCCGATAGTCCATGTTTGTCCATTTACCCAAACTTCCGCCATTTAGACGTAGGCCACCAAAATACGGTGAATATATGAGGAACACGATGTAGTGGTACAATTTCTGGGAGATAAGAGATCCATCTAAACACTTAGTACATTTAAGAAAATAAAAACACGCGTGTAAAATGTTGTTGCTTGAAGTACAAAACGAGATTAAATTCTAACTGCTTTTATGAGGCTGAATTACCAAGATCTTTCGTAAATAGGAAGTAATCCTAAAGTTGCATTGTGATTGGTAAGCAAAACCCGTACCACGCAATACATCAACCAATATGATGCAAAGTGAAACCCAGTCGCACTCGATCACTCATATTGTCCCGCGTAACGAACTTGATTATTTTCAGCCTTATTTTAAGCCTTACCTGCTATGCAGCTCTCAGATGTTCTGAATCTCTTTAGATATAACCTCGCTTTTCATGATCAATGATTTGTCGTCCATTTCAATATCACTTTTTTTCTACAAATTTTTGGTGAAAGTTGAAAATAATAACACAAGTAAAAGACATCTTAAGCTGCGGCGTCTTGTTAATATTCATATTCTGTGTTATTTAATTCTACTAAGAGATGTCAGTTATGGAAATATAAATAGACTATTTTTTCGTATGGTTGATGAGCAAGTTCTTCGCATCGCGTTCAGAAGGAGATAGCTGTTCGCACGCGGTTTATCTCTAGTACAAATAAGAAACGATATGATGGAATACTTTGTAACGTTTGACGCGCTGTTTACCTTTAGTGACAAGAAGTAAGCTACATGCTAATAACAGACGAAGACAAACCGCAAGATTCATAAATAACTTAGATCTTTATTACATAACATTGACACATGTTCTCGAGTAGAATTGGAAACACTTAAGGAAACTCCAAAATTATTTTTTCAATCCTATAGAGCTTTAATTTCAGAGTTGCTCCCTCTTTTATCCAGCTAGATTAAAATAGTATCGTCGTGCAACAAGCTAACCTTTTTTTGAGGCTTAAATAATAAATTTGAATCAACTTATTATTGTACTTGTAATATCATCTTCGTTTTTAGGTAATTCATTTAAGCTCATACTGAAAAAGAAATTGTTCTCGTTTTTTCCATGTTTTGATTTCCCTCTTTACAAATATGCTCGGTATGATAGTACAATTTTTTTTAATTAATGAAAGGCTCGGATTAACTGGTAGGTTTTTCGGACCAGTGCGTTCAACGAGGTGGATCAACAGACTTAAATCTATGGTTCGCTCTTATAATCCTGTGCTAGGAATATTTGACTTATCTCGGTGATATGATGTACAATCCAATCCTTAAAATTCATTTTCAGTGGTCCGATGAATATATATTTTTAATGAGCTTTCTATTTGGTGTCGATGATGATTCTATTTAATCCTGGACACATGTTTCCATAATGTGTACATCGGTCGATAAAGTGGGCTAATTAGTAAGAATAGCGTGAAAATATCTTCAAGATACCGCTTTTAAATTTCCCGGCGAACTGCAGCTTACCACATACCAATAAATGCGCGCAGACTGTGTACCGTATATGCTGAACAAATTTCGTTTTATTTTCACAGAGATGCAAATACGATGAAAACACGTCACCAAGAGGAGATTTAAGGGTATTATTCAGGTGAGAAACACAATTTAAATTAGCTTCTTATTTATTCCAAACTCTTATTTATGCTCTGTACCGTGTGTTGATACAAGAGGATTTCTTCAAAACAAACTTGTACTACATGGTGATGCGCGCAAGTTATAACATACGTAACGTTTGGTATGAAGAAACTTGGTTTGCTTCAATAGACAAAATTATATTCAACTAGCTGAAAGGTATGCTTAGAATATTGAATTTGAAAAAATATTATTTCATTTGTTTACACGATGGGAATTTATGAAAGAAAACTGCCGGTTTGTTCCATAAAAATTTCCTACAAACATAAGCTATCCCGAACGAATTTTGTATTGAAACCAGAATTCCAACAGTTTACCAAGTCTTTCACGCAAGCCCAAATCGTGAACAGAGAGAATGGATTAAACACACATTTTAAAGAGTGCATGTAAAACAATTAAGATAACATATAGCCAGTGTGCTACAAAAATTGTTATTTTGTATGTCTTCCACTCGTGATGTTTCAGGAGATGCAATCATCGTTATGCTTTATCATTACGAAAATAAAAAATTGTGTCCGTAAACTAGAAACCTTCGCTATGTTTGTTTAACATAACTGATATCAAAGAAGACATTTACATGATAAACACAGTTTGATCTTAGTTCGATGTTGAAACGAGGTAACCATAGTAATTTCAAACATTTAAGTTCGGCTTTTGAGAAAATTGTCGCACAATTTAAAAACTAATCCACGCTGCAATGCAACCATCTCTCGCCTGCGAAAGGAGATCGGTTACTTGCCACCCGAAAATCATTTGTTGCCTTATGCAATTTAAGTATATTTAAAATACAATATTTGACTATAGAATGCCATGTAAACCTTCAAACTCACAGTTATGACGAGGCTTTTTTGTGTCCGGCAGTTAAGTGCTATGTAAGACGATTCAGTGAATTTCATAGTAGGGAGGTTTTTCATAGACTTCGAACGGAATCATTATCTCATAAAGAAATTTTATGAATAGCTAAGCTGTCAAAGTCGCTTCAGAACTGAACATATTCCGTCGAACCCTTTTTGGCATAGGATACAAATGAAGGCATACGATGTTGCACCCCTGAATCCATGTTCCCATAAGAGTTATCTGGAATAAATTCTAGACGAAAATTCTTCTATACAAATAACAGATTATAAATGTAGCCATCTTCTTTGATTAGTAATCATTATGAAAAGCTATACATGAATTCAATCAAAAGGGGCCCCAAGAATGACAACAAGTCATACTAGAATTCGTCGTTATAGAGCATGCAGAAAGAAATTGTAGATAAACTTAGCTCAAGCTTTTTCTATAAAAGGAAAAAAATAAACAGAAAAATATTAAAACTTTTTGGCGTTCTGGTATTTTCATAGAGAAAAAATCAACTCTTTTTTCTCGTGAGAATTGGCTATATTTTTAGAACCCAGAAAATCGACACAGCTAGTCTTAAATAAAGTCCCGAAATAGAAATTTGACGATATGTTTGAACAGCGTTGCGTTTCATTGAAATACGACACGGTGACCAGTTTGTTGTCTGCCTTTATTACATGCATGAACATGCGCTCTAAGTTGGTGTGCACTCGTTGAATAATAGAAGAAGGACTAAAGAAAGAAAAGTAGATAGAAGGAAAAAGAAATATGGCCCGTTAGAAATGGTGAAAAATGACAGAAATGATTATACGAAACCTCAGACTTCGGATTACACTGTTTTAAATAAAAGCTTAATATATATAATAGCGTTCCAGGGTTTTGATCACATTTGTTACCTAACTTAAGGTAGAAGGGGATAGCTGCTTGCTGAGCTGCCTAATTGGTATTTCTATTCCTTTATTCATGTGCAATTTGCTTAAAATAAACTTCCCTTCATTGCCTTCAACCAGCTTCAATCTCTTCATGATCTGTAAATCTATTTTATTATGCTCAGGGTATACATCATAGTAAGGAATTTTAGGCATGCGTTCATATTATTGGTCTTCCATTTGCCTAATTTCGGTCTCATTGTCACCGTAATCTCGTTGACATCCAGAGAGCTCTTTTTCATAAACTTACCAATTAGTAGCCTAAAAGGCTAAAACATGATTTTTTTGCAGGTGGCTATATGAATTGTAAATTCTGCCGTTATCATTAAAAGAACGGGGACAAGGTACAGGTGATAGGATGTGGGGAAATACCTGGAAAGAAATCGCTTTTTGCGTGTGAACACCATTTTCTTGTGGCTGTCAAGCTCGATGTTGGATTTGATACCCACATGGCAGTCTTTGGCATAGTTGTCATAGTGCTTTCGTGGTATTTGGATACGGTATGCTATATTTATGTTCCTGGCGTTAACAAATAACCCCCTAATTCATTATATGGTCAAGTTCATCGCGAATGATCACCGAAATAAACCTAACTTACTGAGCTAAGTTTATTTCCCTATAGCTCACAAGGATCGCATGTCAAGTACTTTAAGTTAGCGGGAATGGGGTAGCGATGAGCACAATCACTACCGCTGAGGTATAGGTTCATTTCTGAGCTTGGCGTCGTACCGGGATTTTCGACCTTCCTCCAAAAAAAAAACAACGCTCCAAATTCCTTTTCTTCAAGATAATTGACGAGAACAGCCACTTCGTGATGTCCACTTCTAGGTTTTTTCTTAATATTTATTTTTTCTTAACAATTGTAACTTTGTATGTTGAATTCCTGTTGCGAGCACAAGGACTCCCAAGGCTTTTTTCTGAGTAAGGCTTCATCCTAGATGAATCAAAATACGATATCTAAAAAACTTCCAACTTCTTCGAGCTTTTTTACCCTTTTACCAACTACTATTATTCTGCACGGCTAGTTTTTCTGCTTCGCGAAGTTGTTGATGTTTTACTATTTCATATTCTATTGTTTCTGAACTTGACCGATTTTACGACCATGTTTCATCTCTCAACCTTTCCCAGCCCTACCAACGTAATTTCTAAAACTTGCTGAAATTTTTTTTTGACCTCGTGGGTGATAATTTGGTTGTATAAAGCCATCAGGCTTCCTTCCATGCTTCAGGTGTTGGCATTAAGTAAAGTTTGAAGTACTCTAATATTTTAGAGCAAAATTGTCATTCGACTTTGATTCTTAAGAGAAAAGCTACGCAGAATCCTGAGGCAATTACAAGTTTGAGATGCTTTTTCTTTCATGAAAAGTACTGATATTGTGAATGTTGGGCAAAAAGATAAAGGCCTTTTTTAGTAGCATAGAATACACCTAATAACCGGTACATCACCAAGATCTTCGCGGCCTCGGCCTGTTTTCGCAGATTTTGTAAAATAGATATATGTTTGATATGTGTAGCATACAAGAATTAAGGGTAGATAAAACTTGAATAATTAACAACGTTCTCCTTTTTACTGCATTGTTGCCGTAAATGAGCCATTTATCAAAGGTGCTATTTGTATGACAGGATAGTTGAGGCGAAACGCTGGTCGAGTTTTCAGACATGTCAGATGGCGACCGCAGGGTTTTCTTACGCCCTCTTAGTTTGTCGATCAATGCATGATGGAATCGAGAATTGGAAGAGCTTCGGCTTAACGGAGACGTTAATCTTATTCAATGAGGTCCTAAAAGCCGGGTATTAAAGTTCCACACATACTTTCCAACTTTCCATTTACCTTGATGACTGTATTCTTTTCCATTTCTTTAGGCGTCATAATTTCTTTAAAGGCCCAGAAACTTCCACTCTAATCCTTACCGTCCGTCGTTATTTTGATGATTGGTTCATTGCAACCATTTTACTGCTTATGTCTCTCACGAAGTGCTGCATATGGGTCTGGAGATCTGACATTAATCTTTTCCATTTAGCTTTTTTTTTTCTTTTTTTTTTTTTGTACAAAGCAAAGAAAAATGCGGGAAATTGCTGTGGTATGATATTGCCCGAAAAGAACTATTTTTTCTATTACAAATTTGCCAGACAAAGCTCACCTTTAAAGGATCGTCCTCTCTTTTTAAAGAAAATTCATGTTGTTGAGGTAACAACTGTTATTTCCCAAGACGTCGATAATTCATCAGTGTGCCCGAAGGAAAATATCCCGTTCTTGAAATAGCGATCGTATCTTCATAATGGCTGCAACATACAATTCCATGCCTGATATATAAGTTTTGAAGTTTTTTTCTTTTCTTATTGTAATCTTATTTGTAATTACCCAGTTTTGTCACATGCATCTTCGGCCATCCATCAAAATTGATAATTTACAGGTACGAGACATTTACGCAGTTTTTTCTCAACGGAAATGATCGATAAGTCTCTCAAGGCTAGCGCATAATTAAGTAGATTCTTTCTACAGACTTATTTCGCACTTTGAGGTTTCCAGATGCTATCTTCATCAGGTATGTGATGTTTACGTTAACCACAGCCGCATTCGTGTAGACATAAGAAAAATAATTAACAACCATTCACGGCATAACAGGCTCTATTTGCATAAGGAAATTGTGAAACTTGCACCGTTAGACTTATTAATCGACTCATTTGGAAAGGACACTCTATAGAATCCACCGCACATTTTAGCTGAATCGACTGCAATTGCAATCGGCATAAACAGATCGAAGTATTGTCATGGAAAGGAAATAATGATAGATTTCAAAGATGGTGTAGATGAATCATTAAGCCGGCGGGTAGTTTTCTAGTTTCTTCGAAAAATACTCTCTTTGAATTATTAAATAGATATCTGATAGCAACTTTGTCGACTCAAAATGAAGGTAGAAATATATTTACTTAAGAACGAACACCTTTCATATACGTTAACAAATGGACCAATTGGAGAACTAAAGAAAGAAATGAATCCTTTATGGAAATAATTAAGATCATTCATTTTTACTGTTTTGTTTTGGTTATCAGATGAATTTAATTTGGAAAAATAAAAAAATAGAATTTTTACAGCGTTTGGTTGGAAACTTATTCAATATTCTGCTACAGTTTTTTTGAAGGGCAACAGTATTTTCAAACTATTAACCGCATAATATAAAGCCCAGAAACTTCAAAACAATCAATTAGAGCGCATTATTACACGTTTAATTTTTTATGAAACCTAACTCATTCAACAGCAGGTAGTTATTTATCATCGAGTCATTTCTAAGGCGATGCAATGATGACTTTAAAAGCTGCATGTATGACATGATAGACAAGAATTAAAGCACTCGGGAGTTTGCATTTTCGCAGTCACGTATTGCCAACTAGCCGTGTATTCAAGGAACCTGGCCATTCGATTATTTCCATATCTAGCCCAGACATAGCCCACAGCAATAGAATGATGAAATTTTTTGGTAAAGTGTTCTTAAACATTTTTAATGAGACAGAGCGGCTCCATTGAGAGTTTCACCGAAAGCCCCTCACGAAAAAGCTCTCGCAAACGTAATGAGCATGAAGAATATCAAAACTAGATGAAACAGGGGGAAATATGAGATTCCTTTTAAGAAAATTTCAATTTATCTCGATACAGGCGGGAAAGTATTTTTTTGGTCTGGAACAGCCTTCTAAAACAGACCGACAAGTTGACAAGTATTAATAGAAATGAGACAGAAATTTATTAGGATGTCTAAAAAAAATTTTCCATATAGATATGACTTTGAATGAATTTTAGAAGAAAAAGAACTTTCCAGAATGTTACCAACTCGAAATTGTTGGTTTCTGGAGAATTTTCGATCCATATTTTTCTTTGCAATATTTATCAAGATTCATCTTTTTTAAGAGGGCAACAAATTATTTCTTGCTTTTGTCAATGTCATGTACATATAAAAATAAGTAATATCATTTGTCCTCTGAAACTCATGTTAAATCCATATTTTTGCGGTTTCTCTGACGAGTAACCTCTACCAAATCGCCGTTAATGTTAGGATTCAAAGCTATTTTCATCCCCATTTTCAAAGTACAAACCTTGAAAACAACTTCACCTTGCTGGTTGGGTATGGGTTAATTTTAGCATGTGGACATTAATTATTGATAGAAGAAGCCTGCTCCCGCGTGTATCTTATGCAGGAAGTGTGTGGAACTTATCTTTCCTTACCGGAAAACTTTGTCTTTCTCGCTTTTTTTCTGTGTGTGTGTGTAACTTCGAGAGAAGGTTTACAGCTAATAAACTGTGGTTTTGGAAGCGTCAGCAACAGACATTGCAATGTGTTTGTCATTGTAAATGTTATTTTATTCTAAATATTTCTTTCTTTCCAGTATTTCTAGCTGTAATATTCGTTTTGTTTACTAATAGGAAATTGTCATTGATGTGTCTGGGGCGATAACTGGAACATTCGCTGGCTCCGTTTTCACATTGAATACATTTTAACTGTTTTATCTTATTTACACAAGACTGGCGATAATAAAGTCGTAACATTAAAGCGATAAAATAGACCAATTTAGGTGACAGATTTTGGTGTCAAATTTAAAACGCCTCTACGCGATTGGATCGCGATGTCAAGATTTACAAACATTGCACAGGCTTAAAACAAAGTATTTAATTTTTACATTTTCGGGCGGTTTCAAAGCGATGTGTGTCTCTTCCAGTCGCATTAGGCCCCCCACGAACAGTGAATCATTTCAGCTGTGCCGTTGAAGGAAATGGAAAGTCCTACTATGTTCATACGTGGACAATTTTGTTCCTTCGCATAATTCTTAGAAGATTTTTCCCATCTGAAGTATTAATACGGCACTTCAAAGTAACAGAGCTTGTATTTTTGGCAATTTATCAAGCTTCGCGTAAGTTGTTGAAAAAGAGAATCCTAGGGGAAACCTCCAGGCTGAGGTGGTCCGACGAAGATGATGCTAACATTTCAGCGCTACGTTTTGTGTATAACCTATTTCACGCATCTCGCCTGGTCTTCAGAAAGAGTAAGTTGAAATCAGGATTGAATTGTAATTTCCAAATTCCATGTTAGTCAGCAAAGAACTTGTGCACAAATTTTTACGTTTTCCCGTACATAAAACTGCATAGCCTATCAAAACGAAAAAGTATACATTGTGCTTGAAATTTTTAATCAGTAACGTAACGGCGGTAACAGACAACAAATAAGTCTTCTGTCTTCGCCGATACCCTCACTAGAAGTCTAACAGAATCCTTCAATTGTTTCTCACAACACTCAGCTTCAAATTTTTGCGTGGACTTGACAAATTTAATTTAATTTTGCCACCGTTAAGAGTATTATTTATTGAAACAATTAATATTTAAATCTCCAGTGTTCGTGATATGTTGCGGCGTTTAAAATATGTTCTCAAAAAAATTTCATTTTAACGTTAACTAAATTAAACTTATATCAGGTTGTATTTTGGCCATCAATCGATGTCAGTTCTTCTGTCCGTGTTTCCAATCGAAAAATCTTTTTTTAATTTAATGTTCTGGAGAAATCCCAATATATAGTTTTCTTTTGTTACCTCTAATTATGCAATTGGCAGGATCTGTTGCTTTTCAAAAATCGGTTTTATTCTGGTTATTAATAAAGGGAAAGACATTTTTTAGTTAGAGAAAAACGTAAGAGTAAAAAAAGAATAGAAATTTTGTTTTAAATATTTTTGAAGATTTTGAGTTTGAAGCGTTCTTCACCCTCCAAAAATTAAAGTCGAAAGAGATTTTAGCGTTATAGATTCGTCGTCCAGCTCTCCTGCAGGAGAACTGACAGCTTTATTCAAATAATTAGTTTGTTTTCAAAAGAATGAGTTCCATACAGCTCATACTCAGGAAACCTACAGCTGTGAAAATTAAAAGCCATGTTGAATGATTTCGTTGTTTTTACCTTTTTTTTTTTAATTTTTTGCTTAATTCAATTCTAAAATGACAGAGCTAAGCAGAACGGTTATACACTGTAACAAATGTGTCACACTTTAAAAGCATCTGAGGAGTAATTGCGGTAGCGCCCAAAAATATTGCCTACAGCAGCAAATTCTTTTTTGCGGCCGCAAGCAGGACACTTTCCAACGACTAATTACACGAGAATAACGCTTGAGTGCAGAATATCTCCATTATCAGCTCTCATTGTTATCAGTACTGTTGTGACAGACTAATTCTCTGATATCAAAAGTTATTCATTTTTTGCGACGAATCTTAATTCAACTAAAGCCTTCCCGTCGTTCTTTTATGTTTTGTGCATGAAATTTGTTTTCTGCATTTTACAACTTCCTTCCACTGACTCAAGACCGATGCAAGCCATTGGTGAGATTTGTTATTGTCCTCAAATGTTTCTTACTTGAGTGAGTTACTTAACTTTTATTTACTATGGATTTACTTACTTTCACCTCCTTTTTTCAAAGACGGATACCTTTCATCACTGAGCATAAACCACTGGTCCTATCTTCGCTTTAAAAGTCGCACCAGTCCTCAGTATCAAATAAGTAAAGTCGCTGATTTATCCTGAGACCATTATTGTCAGCTTATCGCTCAAGAGTTGTTATGCATAATAAATTTACTCTAAATGTTAAACTTGAATGCAATTAGTGTTGCTGAGTCTGATTCGAGTGGAGCGTGGCAGGAAAAGGATTAGTTATAACTAATATTTGCAAATCGATCACAAAATAATAAACAAAAATTGCATCATTGTGTGGATAAGGGTAGGTGTTGAAGCTAAAGAATGGGTAATTTCTAACTCGGCGAGGCGACCCAACTAGGAAATTGGAGATTATTCAAATGGTCGTTGGTGTAATTTATTAATTTATTATTTCGACTAACTGCTTGAGGATCTATCGGCGTTGAACACGGAGACATTTTATCGGCGGCCACCAAGAATTTTAAAGCAGGAGTTTTTGTTTTTTAATTCATTTCCGTATGGATAATGTTTATGATGGTTAAAAGGTAGTCAAAACAAGAGAGCTAATAGCCTTGCGATTAAGACTGTTAACACACCAATTTTGCAATATCTAATATCTCTCAGGGATTTAGAACGTAAAAACACGAATTAATTTGTGAAAAAAATCTTCAACGATTATACCTCTCAAGGTTCATTTCTACCTCGAAGTTTTAATAGGAGAAATTGTTACCCAGCAACATTTTCAATCAATAATGGTGAACGCAAAAAAACAAAGTCTCGCTTTCACAGTCAAAGCTTTTAAATATTTTACTTCCACGAAAATATGATAATTGTTTGCGAAATACCCTTTAAATGCAAATTTTTGCTAATGTTTCTCTTGGGTCCGTTCGAGGCTATATTTTAGCTACATAATTGCCCAAAGGCTTGATAATGCGTTTTATTTAGACAAAGCAGCTGCTACTTTTATAGTAGAAATAGTGCTTATCAGACTCGAGCTTAGCCAATCGTATTCATGGTTAACTGATATAAATTATTCGTTTGCTACGTCTTTCAAACTTGTTTAACACATGGAATGAAGTTTTGCTAGAGTATCCGTTGACAACAAAAAATTAATTTCGTACTGATAAGATTATATTTCCGATCGCGTGTGCTTAAGAGAAGAAAAACTTCCTTTTACGAATTTCATTATCATATGACAAGCTAAGAATCTAATCCCTGAGTTGAGCACGCTATTGCTTCGGATTCTCATGCGAGCATTATTGATTGTGGTTCTTCAAATCCTCAAGGTTTGCATCCAACAGGTAGCCGCTCGAGAGAACGTAAAGATCTTCGTAACTTTTAAAATTGAAATCATAAAATATTCGATAGACACACTGCTAATGGCTGATGATCTCCACCGTACGTAGCCAATGGAAGCTACGGGAAATAACTACACGTTTCAATGAGTCATTCTTACATGTTTTTTTTCTCTCTCTTTTAGGTCGCGAGCGATGGAAGCAAGCCACATAAGTTACAAGGTACTAATTTAAGTTTACTTTCAACAACAAGACATAACATAAGACACAACGGTGTTTAAACTTGAAAAAGCGTGGACCAATGAAAGAAAATCATCAGAATTCTATGCAATTTACGAAATATAGGCAACATGGAAGGTTTTCCGCTCTCGTCTATTGGACGTCTACCGCATAATAATAAAATACTTCAAATTACACTTAAAATTTTTAGCAGGAACAGTGATAAACCTGTCTGGAGTGACTTTATTTGTACACGCGCTAATCTAAACTCCAGCTATGTCAAAACATGTGAAGACGACAGCTTATTTTTCTATTTCTTAAACATTTTTATTTCATACGACGTCTTCTTCTCTTACTAAAGGTTATGTAGAGAGACCTTAGAATAAAACTGTATAATTATGGATTAATGATTTGCAAAAGAGAACGCTTTAAATTAATTTTAATTTCTCATTTAAGTTTTCACGAAAGACTATTTAAAACGGTTTTAAGGCAAATACTCCGGCTCAGCAAAGTTATTTTCGAGTCAGCGGAAATTTAACCAAAAGCAGAGACATTTTGATATTATTGTATGTTTGAATGCAATTACAGAAAATACTAAGCAAACTGCGATATCGTAAAATGCAAAGTTAGCGTGAAGAAAATTGTATAACTGTGGTGTTAGTGATATTAATACTTAACATAATTTGACTTCAATCAGTTTCCTGAACGAATCCCCCAAGAACGATACTTTTTATTTCCGCGGAAAAAAATTTTAAAGAGTTTGTAAACAGAGGCGCGTGAAAAGCATGTACATACGCACTTACCTTTGCGTAAATAGATGTTACTCGAGTACACTTTATGTTTAGCGAACACGATAACGAATGTACGAATACAGCAATTCCTGCTCCCGTGTGTACAGTTTAATCAAGCGGAGACCAAAGTTTCGATATGTTATGTTGCGAGGGGAATCGAACAAAAAGAACTGAACATACATTTTCATTCATTTCCTTTGTGTATCATTTAGCCAAGTAAGTGAGAGGTAAAGGGTTAATGGATCAAAAATGGTCATTCATCGGTGGTTGGAAGTAAAAATCCTAAACCTTAAGCTGAAAAATTCCACTTTTTAGTGAACTACCAGCTGTTCCTCGTTTAAACGAGTACACGGTTGTGCTGTAAATCAGGTATTCAATTTAAAATGCAATTATCAAAATTGCAAATATTCATGAGGGCTTTCAAAGCACTTTGCTTGTGCATACTGCGTACTGAATACGTCTGAATCAGTGTAGCGGCGACAAAATGCTTCAAAATGAAAAGTTCCACAGGTTACCCAGTATGTGCTGAAATTATCTTAAAACTGCGTAAGTTTGAAAAGACCCGAAGGCGATCGTTTTTATAAAAATTAAAGATGAACATTAACAAATGAAGGCTAAAAAATCAACACTATAGAACCAACTTTAAAACACGCCGCGGAATGAACTCGCCAACGGTGTTCCTTCTCTGAAAACGGGACAAACAGTCCTCGTCCACATGTTATCTGTTAACAGTGCCTTGATCACTTGCAGCACAGCCCTATCATTCCGCCAGAGAGCAAAGAGCAAGAGAAATAAAAATGAATTTTTTACAGATATTCATTCCACATCAAAGCGCAATATCTATGACCTTAGAAGAGTTTTTCCTGAAAGCTCCAGCCAGTTTCAGTTGACAATTTATCCCCTCTATGTCGACAGTGACCGTTGTTGCGTGGAGAGGGCTTGTGTGTAAGTGAAACGTTTTTGCTCACGTTATCGTGGCCATTTTTGCATATTAAAGAAAAGTAAGAATGGCACTTCAGACAGATTTGTACAAATAAGATGGTCAAAGTCTTGTTGATGATTGATGACAGAGCAAGCGAATGACGTTGACGAAAATTCATTGTTGAAAAAGAGACAGCAAATGCCATTTTTATTATCTCCTTCATAGCTACGTTCATCAGAAAAAACATTTTACTTATCGATATTTGCTCAGAGAATTATCAGGGACAAGTGTAAGATTATCTTTACTCGCAGTCCGATAGCAATCTGCATTATTGAGTAAAGAAAATGATAAAATTTCATCTTATCGTGGTCTGTAACGACAGGCATATGTTGAAAATTCAGTAACGACAGGCATATGTTGAAAATTCAGTCTAGTATCAGAAGAAAATCATGTTCTATCTTTTTATGTTATTTTTAGCAATTTATCTGTGATTTAGATGAAAGAATCATCTGAAGAACATTGTCGAGTATTTTTGGAAACTCTGTAAAAATATCGTCAACGAACATTAACTGCCTTCTCTCAATTCTTTCCATTTCTAACCTGTGTCGAAAATATAAGTTATTCTGAAAATTTCTGCGCGATATCCATGGCACATACGTATTGTTCCAATGAAACGATTTTAGTCCAATCTAGAAGCTTGGATAAGTTTACCAGGCATTTTTTCAAAATAAAATATAAGAAAATGGGAAAAATAACACAGTTGAAGGTATGAATTTTGAAATCATCTTTCACATCAACAAATATAATTTTCGCGGTTTTTCTCATCTTGTTTGAACAATAAGAATCGTCGGCTCTTTTTTGACAGACAATTGCAAACATCTTACTGTATAATTTAATCTTTGAGTCTACTAATCATTCAATGCTATTCTCTGCCACGAAAATCCTCGGTTTCACAAGATTAAGTTTTATTTGAATGAACATACCGAGGCGAATGAATTTACCCTAGAAAATTATCTCGTCAGGCTTTTTGAATAATTCAGCTCTTTAAATTCTAAAATTCGCACCCTTGCCCAAAATCTAATTTCTTGTTGTCACCAAAAGATGTATATTTGCCCAGCTCAATTCCGTTAACAATACATCATGAATGCAAATAAATGTCATTTTTGCACCTCTAGAAATAATCAGGCTTCACTAATGTTTGAACTTCAACTGCGCAATTTTCCTGTTTTGGTTTTACAAAGCGAAACATACTGACGATGAATTATTAAAAATTTAGGTGAATCTGTAAAGTTCATTATTTTGGGCGTAAGGCACGCAAAAGATTGTCTGAATTTTGTCGACCATGATTCCTACTATCGGTTTTCTTTTATTCATTTCACATGGCATAATTGTATACTGAAAAATAGATATAGAAGTATGTGGGATGGTTTAAGCTCTTCCTTTTGATTCGACGCAGAATACTTTTAACGGTTGTCTAAACTCTCTAGAATGAATCACTTTGACTGCCGCTGTAAGCGAGTTTTCATCCCAAGCACACTCCAGGGAAGTGTGACTACTGTCACTGAATAATCATTTTACATTCGTTATATAAAGCCATGCTTTATCTAAACTCAATAGGGAATCTCGTAGCAAAGATATAAAAGTCATGTTATCATGCTGAAACGCTTCAAAATCTCGATTCACCAGCTACTATATCAAATTCGTCGCTACAAGACTAGCTGGGTATGTTTCTGAAATGTTCAAAGAGAATAATTCCTGTTTCTAAACGAAACGAGATCTTTAATTAATTTCATCTTATTATATAACGAAGAAGTTTAAAAAGTTTGCATATGTTCCAGCAACCCAATTACAAGCAGGCGGATAACAAATCATAAATAGAAAAAATGAAAATTTAAAAGTCCTGTTTAATTTCATACTGGCGCCAAAACAAAACCTTGAGATCTTCATACTTCCGCGTGATAATAAAACAAAGCGTAGTTTTTGTCAGTTGGGGGTCTTTTCTCTCTCTGTCATACAGTTATGTTTCTTATGCCGTTTAAGTTGCTTAAGAATTGATCTTAAACCTTCCTTACCCATGTAATATAGAGAAAGTATTGCTAGGGTTAAAGTGAGAACTGTTGTTTCGAAAAAGTGCGCGTTTCTCGACTTAAAGTGAGCCGAGAGTGGCTCCTACAGTAACGTTTGCCTTGTTTGTATAAATAGCTGCACCTGTAACCACAACGTTATTAAAAGTTTACATACACAAGAAAGAGTGTACGTAAATTTCAAAGTTCGGATGTTTTAAATTGTCGAACGCTGACAGAAACTTCGTTACAACTGTTTTTTTAGCAAACGAATTTGAGAGAAGCGAATTGAAGACTATTTTCAGAAAGCTCGAGAAAAACTGTGAAACTAATGAAAATAAAGCATTTCCTTCTCAACTGAACCTGTCGATGAGCCTCCATAATAGCAATCTCTTTTATTTGCATAACAATACGGAAGTCTGTTTAAATAATTTAGCTCTGAGTGTCGGAAGGTTTTTCTTGAGCATAGTATAGTTGATAGCGTTGCTTGACCGAGGAAGATGAAAATCTTATCTTCGCTGAATTTTTTGTTTTCCTTGATATCCCTCAAAGCCACTGAATTGTACAAAAATACCGTGCATTACTGGCCTTTTGAAGAAGTCTCCAACAGAAGCGTCATCGATTATACCGGTTATAACGACGGCCGCTTAAGGGGAAGCTTTAATATCATCTCTGGTATCGTTGGTGCTGCTCTGGAGATCTCGGGCAATAGTTCTTGGGTAGACTTTGGCGTGTTACCAAGTTTGTGCATTAATCACCCTGAGACATGTCGATCAGGGTTTACAATCGCTCTCTGGCTCAAAATTCAAGGTTTCCAAAACAACAGAATTATTCTACAATTAGGACAGCATCGTTTTTCGCGAAGTTTAACGATTTGGACGCAAAGGAGTCTGAGAAAGAACATAGGATTCAGCACTAACACTTTAAATGGCAAGTACTACTGGATGCTAGAATGGAAGAACGACAACTGGAATCACATTGCACTCAAATGGGACAATAGAGCCGGTAGTTTGAGGATTTATTTTAATTGCACTTTAGCCAAGGTCGTAAACAAAAGTAAAAAGGCTACGCCTTTGGAGGAAAATAAACCATCGAGACTTACTTTAGGAGCTAGCCATGCGAAAAAAAATCATATGAAATTGATGGTTGACGAATTTGCCATTTGGAACCACACTGTGTCAGATGACCTACTGTGCAAGGTGTTCAGAATTCGCTCAGGTTAGTGCGCCCTTTTGTTTCGTTCACCATCTTAATGAAAAATTATCCAAATAAACTTCTTTAGTTTACAAAACCTTCCCGCTGGGGTTGTTCGGTAAAGATGTTTGTACTTGTTAGCTTCCAATGTGAATTTAATGAAAGTTTGCGTTTCTGTATTTAAACGTGTAAATGATGTGGGAGGCAGGTGAATGCATAACAGTAGAAGTTTTTATTCAACAAATGCTGAATAGACCATTGCTGAGTTTTTTTTTTTCTCATGAAGATCAATTTCTTCGTCGTTAAAAGAGATGCCTCTCAACTCAAATAAAAAAATTTGTGAATCCACTGGGTAGATTTGCCCCCCCCCCCCCCCCCCTTCCCTCCCTCGCTAAAAAAAAAAAAAAGAAAACGGACCAATTTAATTTTTACCTGGATGGTTATAACAGTCTATAATCAGGGCTGCATATGTTTTACTTCATCGTCACTTAGAAAATTATTGCTATTACACACTAAAGAGTACTTTGACTTTTTTAAAACTTCATTCTCTTTAACCAGACAGTCTAAATATCATTTTATATTTATTTGTAATAATCACGAACGTTGGCGCATGAAACCTTGATTAAACTGTGTGCAAAATCAACCGACAGCACCATAACATAAGTGGAAGTAACCCACTCTTTCAAGAAGGTTAACACTGACAATGATTTAATTAATGTCATATATTTTACTTGGTAAAGCCCGTTGATACATCCAACAGTTCTACCTGACCAATATCATGTAAAAAAGTTATCTCAAGACCAATACCAGTGAATCCAATAGCACGCTCAGGAGTACCTCAACGTTGTTAATACCTCATGCATTTTAGCCAGACAGTCTGCTTTTTCATTTCCATTCAGTTGTAATTCTCTGTAGCGTTGGCTTATAAAACCTTGATTAGACTTTATGGAATAATCACATGAGTAATCCACCTTTCCAAGAAGATCTCAACAAACCATGATTAGTTGCATCACATCGAACATCAATTTCTAACGCTGTTAATCATAACCATTACAAATTCCTCAAATATTATTGGTGCATTCACAACTTCATTTTTAACTCGTGAATTGTGCGCATGCGTAAGAGCGAGTTGTAGATATGATGTGGAGAATGGCACCCGCTCGCTCGCTCGATTGGTCGATTCCTGTAAACTTTTTTCGATTTTAGGCTTTTGAATGCATTTGATAGTTTTTGGCGAGTAATAAACAGACGAAATGGCGACCTTTGTTGCTAAGAATAGTGGTGGGGTGAAAAAGAAGCCAATGATTATCTTAAAAGAGTTTGTTTTTTTTCGTTTTAGTCTCAACAAGCGGCGCCAGCGACTGGCAGGCGTGCTAGGATTCACACTGAAATAAGAGAACAACCTTCGTTTTTCATAAAATTGTAATTTACAATCCTTGAACTTGAAAAATATCCGAAGATTCATTACAAATATCACTTACTCCGAAGCGCTCGGAGCTTACAGGTGTTCAAAAGCTTTTTCTGTTATGGCGTGAGATTGGGGACAAAATTGATCATCGTGTGTTTTTTCTGTGTGAAGCAACAAAGGTGCCGGCGACTGAAGAAATTACAGGTTAACACGAAAATCAAATAACACTTAAACAAATAATTTTGGCTACCGATTTTCAGCGAATTTTTAAAGAACAATTTTCTTTTAATATAAGTTTCAAGACAATTTGAAGATTCAAAATAAATATTACGTACTAAATGCGAGAGTTATACACCACAAAATTAATAAATAGGCCTGAAATGAAATTCTATTTTGTTCTCAATTATACGTTGCCTAGCAAGTGACCAAAATCTACCCAGGCGGAAATCCAAAATGACGGTGGCAGTCTGGGCTCAGTTATATCACTTAAAACTCGTTCTCGTTTGTCTCATTTGATAAAAAGAGGGAATCATCAACGTTTTCATTAAGGCAGTATTGCCTTGATTTTCCAATATTTACAATGATAGACAGTAAATTTCACTTTTCACCCACATTTACTTCCAACCTTTTCTTTTGAACCAGAAACAAAAATGATATATGTTTAAAACACGACATCATCCACCCTTGTCAAATGTAATAGCATGATCATTGCAATGGTAATGCCTTCTTATCCCAACGTTACTTTGTTTCTTTGCTACATTAGCGAACACTGAACTACTGCTCGTACTCTAAATATGAAAATCAACCACAAAATTCCCTAAACCAGACAACATTAAACATAATGCAAAATCATGTAAGTCATCTGTCAATTCACGAGTTTGCTCATAGAGCCCTTTGATTAATATATCATTTGTTAATCACTCGCATGATTGCAGACCAAATTGGAGTCCACTTAGTCCTATTATCATCGTTAACTGATTTGTTCACAAAATATATCAACGAATAACTAGGCAGATATATAACTAAGTGAATAAATAGATAACAAACAATTGATTAACCGAATAAAAAACTGAGCAAACATCTTAAACGTATAAGGCCGTTTGTGCGTTTTACTGATCATTACGAGTTTTCGATGTCTCCTGTCTTTTGGTGGATTTTTTTTATTATTGCTTTTAATGTGGCTGTTTCACTTTGGATTTCTGTTAAAGGCTCATCACGTTACAAAGTTAGAGTAACAAAATTATAAGATTAATCCATTCTCTATAGCCTTTAGACAACTTGTAGTGTAAAAAGGTTTTATGACTTTTTAGTTAAGAGAGTAAGTTTCTAAAAACAATGAGGTGTTGCGTCTGTAGAAGAGTATTGCAGGATAGTTTGTTTTTATCCTCAAGGTTGATAATGTAAACTGGCCACCATAAACAGTTTCTATAGCTAACGTTTCGAGCGTTAGACTTTCGTAACAGCTTCAGACACGCTTCACTGTGGCCAGTTTAGGTTATCAACTCAGTTGATAAAATCAAATTATCTCAAAGAAATTTGTAGATTTCTCGTGCAAAATTAACGTAATTCTCTCTTCTTCCTTCTAGTGGATAAAAATTACAGTGAGTGGTCTGATTTTAGCCCTTGTTCAGTATCTTGTGGTAATGGCACGATGAAACGGACAAGGAACTGTAGCCTACCATTACCAACAAATCGTGATCAACACAACTGTTCTTTTATTGGACCCTCCGAGGAAGTAAAGTCGTGCTTTTTACGGGAATGTCCGCTGGACGAAAACTATTCACAATGGTCAGTATTTAACAATTGTAGCAAGACCTGTGGTGGCGGAATCAAGAAAAGAAGTAGGACTTGTTCAAACCCGGAGTCTGGACTCGGTGGTAGAAATTGTTCTAGTCTAGGATTGACGATCGAAGTTAAAAACTGCAATACACAACCTTGTCCTATAGATGGAGGGTACAGTGAGTGGACGGAGTTTTCACGATGTACAGTTTCTTGTGGAAATGGAACGAGACATAGAACTCGAAGTTGTTCCCGTCCACAACCTAAATATGGTGGGAGGGACTGTGCGCATTTAGGATCAAATATAGAAATTGCGATTTGCAACAATACTTTTTGCCCGACTCACGGAGGCTTTAGCGAATGGTCAACGTTCAGCAAATGTACAAGAACATGCGATAAGGGTATTCAAAAGAGGTCTAGAAAATGTTCTAATCCCGAGCCGAGCCATGGCGGAAAGGATTGCTCGAGTTTGGGAGCACATGTAGAGACAAGGGTATGCAATACTCAACATTGCCCAGTAAATGGTGGATTTACCGAGTGGACGAGATGGGGTGAATGTAGTAGGTCATGCGGAGTTGGAATTAAAAACAGAACGCGATCCTGTAGTGATCCTATTCCTATGTATGGCGGAAACGAGTGTGATGGAGATACAATCAAGTTTGCAGTTTGCAATATTGATCTGTGCCGGGTTGATGGAAACTATTCTTCATGGTCAAAGTTTAGTGCTTGTAGCAAAAGCTGTGCTGGTGGTAAAATGAAACGAACAAGAACGTGCACTAATCCACCTCCAGATAATGGAGAGGATTGTTCGCTGCTTGGTTCAGCAATAGAAATTAGAAACTGCAACACTTTTCCATGTCCAATAAATGGTAATTATTCATCGTGGTCTAACTTCAGTTTGTGTAGTAAAAGTTGCGGTAATGGTACGATGGAAAGAACGAGAAATTGTTCAAATCCAGAGCCAAAACACGGTGGCATGAATTGCTCTTACTTAGGCCTTCCAAAGGAGGTAAAAAGTTGTAACGCATTTCCTTGTCCGATACATGGTAATTTTTCTTCCTGGTCACTTTTTAGCGTTTGCAGTAAAAGCTGTGGAAATGGGAAAAAGACCAGAACTAGATCATGTTCAAATCCTGTTCCAAAACATGGTGGTAAAAACTGTTCTGCGCTTGAACCTCTAAAAGAGGTGCGTAGTTGTAACACCTTCCCCTGTCCTGTTCATGGAAACTACTCGCCTTGGTCAAATTTTAGCAGTTGTTCTAAAAGTTGTGGTAATGGTAAAATGGTACGAACACGAAAATGTTCAAATCCTACGCCAAAGCATGGTGGAAGAAATTGTTCATTGTTTGGGCACTCGACAGAAGTTCGAAGCTGCAATGCATTCCCCTGCCCAGTTCACGGAAATTATTCGACGTGGTCCAATTTCAGTGCATGTAGTAAAAGTTGCGGAAATGGGACAATGTCACGATTTAGAAACTGTACCAATCCGAAGCCTCGCTATAAAGGAAAGAACTGCTCTTCGTTAGGGGCCCCAGTAGATATTCAACTTTGTAATGTTTTTCCGTGTCCGATACACGGCGGATACACAGTTTGGGGAAACTTTACGCAATGCACCGTGTCATGTGGTAATGGCACCATGTATAGAACAAGAAACTGCTCCAATCCTGCACCTCGACATCGGGGCGAAAATTGCTCAAAACTTGGACCAGCTGAGGAAATAAGAGCATGTAACGAGCATCCTTGTCCAATACACGGTGGCTACACGCAGTGGTCGGAGTTCAGTCAATGCTCGACAAGCTGTGGCAATGGCACTCATCGGAGAACGAGGCAATGTTCCAATCCAGCGCCAAAATTTGGAGGTAAAAACTGCTCTCTGTATGGTTTGGACATCGATGTCGAAAGTTGTTATTTGATTCCGTGTCCTTTAGATGGTGGATATAGCACGTGGTCAAACTTCACTGAATGTACCAAATCATGTAACGTCGGAAGACATACTCGAACTCGGCAGTGTAACAATCCTGTTCCTAAACACGGTGGGAAAGATTGTTCGAGCCTTGGTTTAGAGACAGACGTACAATTATGTAACACATTCCCCTGCCCCATCCATGGGGGATACAACGAGTGGAGTGGATTTGAGTCATGTACACGAACCTGCGGAGGAGGAAAGCTCATAAGGAGACGTTCCTGCATCAATCCGCCCCCTGCCCACGGAGGAAGAAATTGCAGTAGCCAGGGTCCAAGTATTGAGTCCAAGTCATGCAACACGCAAAAATGTCCGGGTACGTTTTCCTTTTTTCTGCGGGTTATTTGATAAACTTGAGGTGTCACATGTATCTCCCCAAAAGCGTTATACCACGCCCATGAAGGAACTGCGAATGAGGCTGTAACGTCATGATCAGTTTACTATCTCGTTTGGGGCAACTCAGTGTCACCTTGACAGTTACGTTACCGATGCATGACCACTTGACATTGTCAAGGAATAACGGCATAATCTGAGATCGATTAACCTTTTTGTTGTCTTCAGCTACCGTTTCAGACACTCAGGAGTTACAAAATACTTAAGAAAAGCTGAGCAAGTTCAGTATAAAAATTAAAATGAGAGGCTTCACTCATGACCTTAACGAGACTTTGAGCAGTAACTTCTCTACCGTCATTTGGTCTTTCGCTAAAAATCCACCTCAGGCCTTTTCTGATGTAACTTTTGCATAAGACCCATAAATTTTTATGGAATGAAACAACTTTGTTATTGGAAACTATTTCCTCAGATATTGTTTTCAAGATAACAATAAACTTGACGTCTGAGAAATGGGACCCAACTTTAGCTGCTGGAAAAGGCCGGAGCTTTGACAGGCTGACGTTAAAAATCCATTATGGGGTAAGTGATTGAATTTCACATCATTACACCATTCCATAGTTTTGATTAGATTACTTTCAAGTGCGGTTAGGACGACCCTTCCGTTGTAGTATAGGTCATAATTTATCCTCTTCACTCGTTACCCTCTTGCTCACGGAAGATATATGTCTAAATCTGAAACGTGGCTGACTAATCATTTTAGTAACCTTCAAAGTTGAAGAATAAACGGGAAACTTCTCTTTTTGACTTGGTTAATTTTAGGCAGGAACAAATTCCAGAAAGTTAGAGGAAGAAGCAAAAGTAAACCTAACAAAACAACACTTTTCACATTGGATCATAACGTAGCAAACATTCATGGTTTCTTTTAGGTTAAAGCGATTATGGGAGAATGGGCAGTATCTGATGTTGGAGATTTCACCTTTAGGTAGGAACTATTGGTTTTTTTTAATATTTTTCTTTTGTCTGTTTTTTTATGAAATTTGTCAACTGATATTAACCATGTTTGGAACTTGAGATCCAAACTACTATGTGGTCAAAGCTGATCACAGAAAAACAAAATTATTTGAAAAATAAAATTATTTGATCCTACGGCTACATACCTGTTGACTATTTCAATTTATTCATTTCTGTCAGACTTCTCCGTTAAAATTCAAAATTTTCCTGTTAGTCGATCGCGGACTTGTTTGCCTTTCCTCTCCTTCCTTAATGTTCTCCGTCCGTTGCTTTCTTCTCGATGAGTTCCATTCTTCCCTGGTTTTCTTGGTCTTTGGATCCATTTCTTCGTTTCTTCTTATTTACTGTTTTTCGTTTAAAGACAAGGAAGCGTCATCGTAGATTTCTCTGTCAGCCTATTTCACCAACCCTACCAAGGAATTACCGCTCTTCAAGATGCCATCAACATCGACAGAAAAATAGAAAATACACTAACGGTCTCACCTGTAAACCTCGCTTCACCGGATGGTAAGGGTTATCTAGTTTCACAAAAGCAGTTATGCACATTTGCCCTCAGCCGCAGCTCGTCTGCATGTTGAAGATTCGTAAAATTTGCTAAGAAAGTATCCTGACAAGCAGAATAAGGAAGATGGTTAGTTTGAGCTCCGGAGTAAAATAATAAAAGATGTTTTTAAGTGTTATCTCTTGCGTCCGCGTGAGGAATTGAGCCTTAGACTTTTGAATTTCGCATTCCATTGCTCTCTACAACTTAGAAACAAGACAGATAGATATGTATTACTTTTTTTTGCCACAGAATCAAACAGATAAAGACAACATACACTCTTGAACCTAATTATGAAGGATATTCAGTCCAGGGAAGCCGTTTTCTTTAAATTTTGCTGTTTACGAAATAATCTTCAACTTACCAAAAACAACCGATCATGCTAAGTAAATCTTTTTTCGGTAAACGCTATACTAAACATTAATCATTTCCGTTGTGTTATTTTTGTAGTCCCATTTATGGCACCAGTCAACATCACGGCTATTAACTCAAGCTCCACCTCAGTTCTCCTTACATGGCTACCAATTCCGAACGAGTATTCCAATGGTCCAATTCTGGAATACAGAGTTACTTTCTGGGAATTAGGAAGTGATAACTTAGAAAAAAGGCTATGGAAGAAGGTGATCGACGGGGAAAGACTGTCCTCACATGTGACTAACTTGGAGAAGTTCACCACCTACCAGTTTAGAATGGCAGGTGTCAATCATCGAGGAGTCGGAGTGGACAGTGAACCAATTGAAACAAAAACAGATCAAGACAGTAAGTACTAATTACCTTATTTATACTACTGTTTTTTCATTGATTAAAAAGTGTCACTCGTTACTTATATCTAGCCAGCTCTTACACAATTCGAGTTAAATTGAACATTCTGCAATTTTAAAGCCAGTAGAAACCAGAATAGCGGATTTCACTCGTTAAGTTATAATCCCTCTATCACTTCGTTTGTTTGTTGAATATTAGTGCCTCAATAAATCATTCACAGACTTACTTTGTCTCTACTGATATATCTCTCAACAAAGTTACGTTGATCATTATTTTTTTTGTATGGTCAGACATGTTTATGAACAGTTTCTCCCCTTGGTGCTTTAAAATGGATTGTATCTCAGTAGTTAGGAGTAGTTTCAAGTTAGGATCAGGTACAAATATTGCTATTCATTTAAAGCAGTATTGTTCAGTTTACTTGTGTGATTTAAGGTTAAAACGCGTTTAAATGTTTTGTGTTTGTCGCTAGTTTCCGTAGGCTGTTGCTTTCACCTGAGTAACCATGGTTGGTATACCCAATCACCATAAATTAAGCTTTGCACGCAGAGTGAAATTTACGAAGTCAAATTTTCTTCATTTGATGCTCTGTTCAGAACCTAGTTCATCACCGTGGGATGTAAAAGCCAGTAACAAAAGCAGCACAACCATTTACGTTAATTGGTCTCCGATCCCCAAACAGTTCATTCATGGAATTCTATTGGGTTACCATGTTCATTACACTAACTTGGATCCTAATGGATACGAAGACGTCATTACTCGTACATACCCGACTGACCCAACCAGAACCTGGGCTCTAATTACAAACCTGCTTAAGTTCACATCATATCAGATTCAAGTCAGCGCTTTTACAATTAAAGGAGATGGGCCATTGTCGGATACAATCTTCGAGCGGACACAGGAGGACGGTAAGAAATAAATATCAAGAAAAATAGTAAGATAAGAGAAAAATTCCTGGAGATACGACCGACACTTATTCTGGTGTGCAACAAAGCGGGATTTGAGGACATGAATCAAATGGCGCATTTGAAGCTGAGTAAAACAGGACCTTTTCCTCAATTTCAATCTTTTATGTCCTCCAAAGGTCGATATTTGAACCTCTTCGGTCCCCACCAGAGAATAGGAAATTATGAATAAGATTCTTGTGCGTGATACCCCACTTTTACTGGCATAACTTCAACTTTTGACGATAGTTTTTTTTCTTATTTTCCTTCCTCGCTTTCTTTCAGTCCCTAGCCGGCCCCCAGGAAATGTTAAAGGCAACAATCTTACATCCACAAGCATCGTGATCCAGTGGAGCCCAATCTCCTCGCGCTATGCACACGGTGTTCTCTTGGGTTATAAAATATCTTATGTAACAGCAGACGCCCCGAATAATCGAACATGGAGCGAGACTGTAGTCAACCAGTCAGCAACGTCAGCGGTTATTGCCAATTTACGCAAGTTCACAACGTACATGGTATCTGTTGAAGGTTTTACCAACAAAGGAAGTGGAATTGAGAGCAAATGTGTGGCAGTGACCACGGATGAAGACAGTAAGATAATGACTGTATATAAAGCTGCATATGCAAGTTTTACTAGATGAATTTCCGTTGGTAAGTTGTCCTCGGCGGTTAAGATGGAAAAAAGCAGAAACTTTCTTTGCCGCGTTCCCTTCCCCAAAAAGTACTACGGCGTTCTGAAGCGAATAGGCAAAACGCATCCAGACCATGTCAGATTTGAATGTTTGGACTGCAACAACAATTAATACATAAGAATATCATAAAATATATTCATGTAGTATGAATTTATACATTTATACATATATCAACAGACATAGTCGCAAGCTCCTGACTAATAACGAAAGCACTACACTAGGAAATAGAAAAATAGAAAAAATATACATATAAATAGATAAATAAATCGAAAAAGGTAAACATCACACTACCTAAGATAAACTAGCAACTACAGACCATAACTAAAAATTTTAAAATACTTCGGCAGACATGGTAATCTCTACGTTAACTTTTGCAGGACCCGATACCTTCCCTGCCAACGTCACCGGTTTCAACAGAAGCTCCACTTCTCTGTTTCTTGAGTGGAAACATATCCCTCCACAACACAGAAATGGCATTCTCCAAGGTTACAAGATTTCATATTTCTCTAATAGCTCTTATGAGACAGTCTTGCATCAGACAGTCCACGGTTCAAGGACGTCGACTACCCTTGAGAACTTGAAGAAATTCACGTGGTACGTCATCAGAGTGGCCGGGTACACCAGTAAAGGACTCGGTCCTTCACCTCTACAACCTTTAGTGATAAGGACAAGTGAAGATGGTAAGTCACGTGACTCGTTCTACCTCACTTCGCTTTCAGTATTATGCGTTTCTTCACCGTACTTTCTTTTTTAAAGTTTAAAAAATGTTTGAAAAAAGGAGAAAAGAAAAACAGCACAACAAAATATAGATGGCTAAGGGGTACCATTTTTAGTTCCCTGTTCATTGGCGTTCACCAAGAGATCATAATCTCTTGCCTTCACCTAAGTAGGTTTTAGGCGCAGAAGAGTTTTATCCGTGAAGTGAAAAGTTAGAAACACCAAGAGCGAATGATTAAGAGTATCATAGTATCGATAAATAAGGCTAAATTCATTCACTGAATTGAACTCGTGAAGGTATTAGACGCCTTTACTGGCTTTGTTCTTTTGTCTTTTTTTATCAGCGATCAGTTGAAGGTACTCTTTGGATACTTTACTCTGAAAACTGTTTATAGCCATGCTTGTATTCGCCTGTGATTTCCTTGTAAAAAAACCGGGTATCCTGAGGATTTCATGTGATCGTGCTATGGGCAATCAGCGTCCAGCACGATCTGGCTTGGCTTGCATGAGACTTTTCACTGCACTTCTTGACCAACCAAGATAAATAAAAGCTAACGTATGACATTATTGTTAAGTTCCTAGTAAACCTGTGATAAAATTAAAAGCTCGTAACACAAGCCACACGAGTCTCCTTGTGGACTGGAAAGACATACCAAGTGACTACGTCCATGGGATACTATTGGGCTTTAGAGTGCTGTTCTGGCGATTCAATGAGTCACGTGACACGTATGAGATCAGAGAGGTTCTTCCTGATGAACGATCCGTCCATCTAAAAGATTTGTGGATTTACACCAAATATAAAATACAAGTTCTTGGTTTCACGGCTGCTGGCGAAGGTGCTGTTAGCGAGGAAATCGAAGTCTCAACTGATGAATACGGTGAGTTTTTGCCTTTAATTTAGATCCACCTAACTTTGTTGAGGCACATCTCTCTCGGCGATTTCATAGACAGATGAAAAAGAAAGATATTACATGAGTGTCTATTCATCGATGTTCTCCGAGCACGTTATGTACCCGAGATCAATTTCTATTAGGCAAATGCAATGTGATTTTCGGTCCGCATAGGCGAGCGAAAATCGTATATACTGTAGTTCTAACCAAAACCAGCTTTTGGCGAAACGGTTTCCCGGTGATGTACTTAGTATGATTTAATTTCCGTCTGGTCAAAGGGTAGCAACATGGAAAGTTACGATAAGTTGATAACGACCCGTTTCTCTAAGTAATACAGCAAGAAATCATCTTCAAAGAAGGAGAACAATTGCCTTCCTTTTCTCGGTTTTTCTTTGCTTCTCTCCTCTTTCCCTTTAGAAGAAGCTACTTACAATTTTCGAAGAATATTGGAAATTGACTATGTGTGATAAGTAATGAGACATGTAAACCTCTCCTAACTTGCTGATCATTCGAAGAGCCTGAATGCTTGCCAGCAAGATTTTCTTCAACACTCAAAGTTGCTCTCAAAGCTTCTTTTTTCAGCCTTATGCTTTTATAATCGGACAATCTCTCAGACCCTAGCAGTATCTTTCGATATACCATCCTCTTATGGGAGTTTTTCAATTCAAGTGATGTATTTTCTCTCAAAAAAAATTGGAACATCTTTCTTTCTTGCACTAGTTCCCAGTCAATCTCCTGTCAATGTTCAAGCGATGAACAAGACAAGTCCCACAAAAATCGAGGTACAGTGGAAACCAATCCCAGATGAATTTTACGTCCATGGTATACTGCGTGGTTACAGAGTACTGTACAAGGCGATAGCCACTGCAGACGAGACGCCAGAGGAAGAGTCGGAAACTAAGATAGTAACAGTATCAAGCTCAAGCTTGTCTGCTGTTCTGGAAAATTTGGATGCATACACCCGATACGAGATCGAAGTTCTGGCATTTACCATCAAGGGAGACGGGGTGAAGAGTGAACCTATACGAGCAGGTATTTCACAAGATTTGTAATCTTCCTTTGCAGCCTTGAGTGCCTTTGCAATTCATACTTCTATTCAGGCTTCCTTTTTGAAAATTTTTAGATACAACTCACTCCTAGAGGATCATTTCAATGCTTGTATTCAGTTAGCAGGTCAAAACACTATTTATCGCATTTTTAAATGTAATTTTCAGGGATTAGCATGCAGATTTTTATTTCAACCTGTCAAGAGACGTAGGAAAACCTAAGCTGTTAAGAAGTAAATCCGATCCCCCATCACGAGCTCATGATCGACTCAAAAACATTTTACTTCCTTTTGTTTCCTTCCAGAAACGTGTAACTGCTACAGCACTGTCTTCTCTAATTGGTGGATCAACCCGCCTTACGTTGACAGCCCCGATTCCAACAAGAGTGGCATCATCACTCCTATCCTAAAAGAATCAGTTTATTCCTGCTGTGGGAACTGCTCTGAGCATGGAACCTCACGAATAGACTTTGAGTACACTGCCTCTCTACGTCCTGCCAGGAAATCAGGGCTTGTTCAGTTCAAGAACGGCTTTGAGGAGAAAACTGAGCTGCATTTTCCAGTCTATGGCTTCATGGATCAGACTCGGTTTTCAGACAATTACGGATTTGTTCCTTTCGTCCAGTCGCCAGGCTTGGCACTGATCATAATCGGAGATGAAAAGGGAACCGCTGCAAATCTACTGCTCAAGTCACTGGCCTTTTGTTTCCCAGTACTCTTTTTGTCCATTGCCATGTTATGGGTGTCCAGTTTGGCCATGTGGTTTGTGGTGAGTAATCTCTTTGTCACCCACTGCCATTTGTGTACAACAGCAATTTTCTATTTTGTCGTTTCTTCTCCCTCGAGATATCAAAGCCTGATGACAAGCTTCTTTTGAATTTTTCGGTAGAACAAAAGAACACGAACCGTTTTTCATACTTTTCAAGATATACTGTGTTCTGTTTTACTTCCAAAGGAAACTGCAGCTAATGAACGCCACTTTCCTCGCAATATTCTACAAGGAAGCTGGGAAGCGATGTGGTGGGCGTTTGCTTCCATGACAACTCTCGGGTAAGACAACTATCACTGATGATCTGAATAAATTGATGGAGGAAATAGGGAACGAATACATGAATAAATGGGCGAGCGAGCAAGTAAGAGAGTTAATGCCAGGATGACTGATTGACTATGGATTGACTGTCTGACCAACCGGCTTCCTGACTGACTGATTGACCGTCTGGCTAACGGACTGAACGACTAACCAACAGATTGACGGACCTAACAACGAAATAACAAACCGATTGATTGACGGAACGCCAAACTAATAGAATGGTTCGTAAGGAATTTCAAAGCTGAAGTTTTAAGCGTTATCCCTTCGTCAGAGCGAAGGGCTAACGCTCGAAATGTCGGCTTTGAAACTCTTAACAATGGCCAATTTACGTTATCAACTCAGTTGATAATACTAAATTACCCTGTTATACTCTCCCACCGATACAGCATCTCAATTTCTTTAGAAACTTATCCCCTTTAACACAATGGTCCACTGATCAAACTGATCGACTTGTGAATAGATCGAATGCACATACAACAAGTAGACAATTTGTTGTAACGTTAGTTGGAAAAAATTTACTGTTAGGTCGATCTGTCTGCTTTTAATTGTGCAACTACTTTCGTTCTTATTCGGTAGGTACGGTGATCGGATTCCAAGGACTCCGTTTGGTCGCCTGGTGTGTTTAACTTGGATCCTTTTAGGCGTCATCATGGTGACTTGCTTTAACTCTACCATGACAACACTGCTGACCGCGAGAATTTTGGACAAAGAGGTTAATTTATATGGAACCAAGGTGTGCATAAATTTTTACACAATTGTTTTCATTTTTCTCATCAAAAAGAAAACAAATACGTGAAGAAAATTTTTTTCTTTTTGTTACATTGAACTACCCGTTTTGAACAAAAAACATTTTTGGAATCAAGTGTGCAAAAGAGCAGTTAAGAAGAACGCTTCTTGAGAGAACAGCGAAAAACCTTATAGCAAAGCCTACCAATTAATTTATACGCACCAGATTAAAGGGCATGTAAACCCAAAAAACGTTCATTTTCTTTTCACATAGATGTTTAGTAAATATATCAAGTACACCAAAGGTACCATTCGTTTATTCTCAAAAGTCCATTTTCACTTTGTAAAAGCTCTTCCAAATTCGAAACATTCGCCATCTTGAATGGCGCCATCTTTCCTGTGACGTCACGGGTGGACCCTCCAAAGTCTCGTTTTATAATCGCGTGAGGCACGAATGAGTCTTTTCTACAGCCGTTGTTTGCTGGTCTCGTCATGATTTTTTCACTTACAGTTTGCTTCAATATATTCGATTTTTTCGAAATGGTAAAGCGTTGTGTCTTCCAGTTTTGTACTAATTCAAACAAAACTGGGCATACAATGCAAATATTTCCAAATGACGCAAATTTGAAGCGACAGTTTGTGAAATTTGTTCAAGTGAAAATAGCCGATTTCGTCGAGCCGTTCGAACGTTCTGTTGTTTGTAGCAGTCATTTTTCTTCCTGGTGTTGTACCGACGATTCAGGCCTCACCAGAAGCAAATTGTTCGGAAGTATAAAAACGACCCATACAGTCGGCAGACGACGAGGATTCGGAAGTGGCCGACCGAACTGAGAAAGAAGTAGAGTTCTTCAAAAGTTAGAGGTCAACAGAGAAAGTACAAAATCGATTTACATGAAAACGTTTCGTTAATTAAACAACAATAGCTTTATTGGTTCTCTAAAAACATCTTTTTTCTCATCTAATGAAATATTATGGGGAAGCCAGTTGTTCGGGAGCCAGCGCTGAGCCCGTAAAAGACACTGACATGTCTGAACCTTTGCCTGAATTCGAAACACGTATCAAAGAAAGAGAATTCGTTGATATCAGTGTGTAATAACGTGATCTGGAATTTTGTCGGTTCGATACAAAGAATTCTATGCAGGATCCTATAATCAACCCTTATGTTCTATAAGAAAATCCAAGCCAGCCCTGCTTGGTGCTTCCTTTGAGAAATCCTGCAGAGAAACAGCAGAAGAATTTGTGTCACGGTTTTCACAGCAGTGAAAATACACTCAAAGGTCAGTAGGACAATACTCGTCATTTTGAGTACAACTTAAAAGATCCTGATTTCAGCTTGCAAAACTATCTTTT